CGTGCTGTGGCATCTGCAACCCAAGATATTTCATCCATCATGCTCTATTACGCCCGTCAGTGTTTGCTGCAATTCATTGCTTATCCTGAGAACGTACGCTGGAGGAGTGCAGGCTTATGCACAGACTCGTCGCCTGCCATCCGACTCTAATGTCGGAGCGCACCCTGTGAATCACGCACCGCTGCCACCGGGCTGATGGTTAGGACGTCACGACCCACAAGTCATGGCTTACCCGAATGGAAGCCGGCTGCCGGAGTCGACCGAGTTCAGACTGCAGACGTTCGTTGGGATCAAACGAGCTATCCTAGTTATCAAACCTGAGTGGGATGACGAAACGCTTCTGAGGGAACTCAAGAAAACGTATCGCAAGAGGCGCGGTTGGCTCAGTTGGTGTTGTATCAGGTAAGCTGCAGCCAGCCCATGGTGTAAGTGCGACGCTAACACGTTACATCTAGGACCATTGTAAAGGTGTGGGTCAGTAGACATGACCCACGCTATTGATATTGAATGGAAGCTCATACTCGTGTACTCACACACAGGCACAGGATGACATTGTCTATCCGGAGCATGTGAACCAAAGCGCGACGAGCGAGCGTTGCTTTCAGCGAATGCAATATTACCTCGATCACCCGGACGGATCGAAAGGTCGCCATGAGTTTATATTAGCTCTTACCATGGACGAGCGCCACGGCATCGAGTACGTCGAGCGGTATAAAGCCGCATGGTTTTATTGTGCGGCTTTCGGGGTCATCATCGTTTTCTCTCTCATATCCTCCGTGATATACACTGTTGTCAAAGATGACGTGGTTGGCGGATTTACAATTGGCGGTAGGTGTCTCATTTCTGGTCATTCACGATCTTGCGCCGACTGATTTGGCATGCGCAGTATATGTCTTTTGGCGCTTCTGACCGTGGTATCAATCTGCATGCCTGCGTTCAAATAGACGGTTCACTGAATTCACGCATATATCCTTATTCGTAAACATAACAAAGTATACCCCCATTGTACTCCACAAGCAGTCTTCCATTGTTGTTGTACACAGCTCACTCACATAAGTAGCGGTCGAACTCCTACATTATCGCATTATTTACCTTTACAGTAGCTGGCTACCCCAGCCTTAATGTTCTCACATACCACCACGAAGCCGTGCTCGCATACTCATTGCACTATCCATACCCTCATACATAACACATACCCGCTATAGCCATTCTCCAGATATAACCATCACTGATAGCTCAGACGTGTAAAGTAAAAGATTTCTCATAGCAAAGAGAGATACACAGATGATCAACATATAAACAACATATTATACCTCGCCTCATTCGTCGTCACGACAAAACCTCCTCAATGAACATTTAGTCCAGCTCGTAACAATGACCTACAGCTCTTCAAGCCAGCGCATATGCGAGAACTCGTCAACATCCATACGTTCCTCCTTTTCTGAGGCATCAGACTCGACTGAACTTTCTCTCAATTTCTCTCAAGGGCCGCCTGATAACGCCATAAGCAGGAACTGACTTGGCACAGAGAGCAGTTCCGCGGCCGTCGCGCAAGGCGGAACATGGCGGACGAGATTCGCTATCAACAGCGTGTTTGCGATGCGCATCAGATGGAGGGTTCGTTGACGCTGGAGGACCAACCCGTCGGCGCAGGCGAAACAACAGCACCGCCATGGCCGCGGGCTTGCTCCGCTCGTGCATCGGGACGAATCGAAGACGCGCCCGACGCAACTGGCTTCCCCCCTGTATCACCCTTTTCTTGAACTTCATCTCGGCATATTGATTCGGATAAGGAACAAGCCGCAGAGGATGTCGCGTCGACGTCTGCGTGCGCGACGGTCCAGCTGGACTGGCTGGTCGAACTAGCTGAACTGGACGAGCTGAACGAGCTGGAGGCTCGTCAGCCTTGTATGGAACGAGTTGCAACGGGGAGTACGCGGGCGCGGAGATGCCGGGTGGAGCCTGTCTCGATGCCGGGAGAGTAGGAGTACGTAGGCTACGCACTCCGAATTGAAACAGGGTAAAAAATTTCCGTTGATGGAGGCATAGCTTAGTGGCCCCATGCCCTGTGCAGATCTTCCGGCAGGCGACTAATGATGTACAATATGGATGTGATTCTCGGAAGTTGCTATCATTTTTCTTCTACACAAGATTGAGCGTTACCTTCCTATCCTGCTTGTGCATGCTCGAACAGGAGCACGAATGGTGAACAATCAAGAAAGGGGTTTTCAAGAAAGGATGTGCTTGAGATGCGATTCCTGATGGTGAACTTGTCAGGAATCTCCCTGAGAAATAAATGGGCGGATCACTCATGACAGCTTGCTAAAAGCGCTCTTGGCAGTCCGTCGTAGTGCGTTCATGGAAGAACGTACGGCAGGGTAAATCGCCCGGTTGTCAGCCTCCGCCTTGATTGTGCACAAGACCCGTTAGCTGTAAGCGACACTTGGCCAACTATTAAACGACGCCGCGGACCACTGTAGTCGATCGGAGTGACTTCAAATTGCCTAGCGTACTGCGAGACGTCGTTATGAGCTTGGCATCCCAGAAGCACGAGTGCGACGTCGTGATAGAAAAGTCCCACCGTGGCTTGTTGATATCATGTTCAGGAGCAGTCAACGCATCTCGATCAATGGCCCATGGTAGCGTCCAACTTCCGGGGAAGGCTGAGTCTTGGGTGCAAAGCTAAGATTGATTCAAAGGACGAATGAACCTGAGTCCAAGCCGATCAGACCATCTGTCGTTGCACATAACAGTGCAATCGACCTCGGAATCGGAGCTACAAGCAGCGCATACGGACGAGCACTAACACCGTCCCGACGGTCGCAATCGTTATAGAAAGCAAAATCGTTCCATTCAACCGTAACATGGGAGGAAGCTCCGTACCTAAGTCATTAGTAGCTACAATTCGATATCATACACTGTATCCACCGACATACCGTCCAAGTTCGCATTCACACAAAATTGACCTTTGAATAACCAGGCGAGCACCCACAACAATCTAGTCAACGTCGCTAGAACACGATAGAATTCGATAGCGTACCTCAGCCTACTCTCTTACCGCTCTCCTCGCCGCATGATCCGTACCTAACAAGCTCACCACCACTGCAGCGCTGTCCTGCAGTCGCTTCTGGCGCTGGAACAGTGCCTCGATTGCCTTCGTCGTATCCACCATCAGCTGCTGCTCTTTCGGCGGATTACTCAAGTCCGGAGGCTGCACCGGTAGCGCTCCGACGCCCGACTGTCTGAGGATCTCTGACAGTCCCTGCAGAGCCTGGTAGAGAGCTGTCATGTCCGCTACGGAAGCGTCCAGGATATCAATCTACACCTCCGATAACGTAGACATCACGCTTACACGCCGTCTGCATCGGGTTCGTCCCCGGGTGGTACGCATGCTCGCTACGATATATTAAATGCATCCTTCACATGCACAGTTCAAAGCCGCTCACATTCCCGCTAGAGCACTGCGCGCCAGGTTCTGCACCCTAGCCAATTCCCCGAGAACGGGTTGGATGCTCTGCTTGAAAACTTCTGGAGAACTGGAATCATGACCTGAAATGCCCGTTTGATAACTCTGCAGGGAAGACTGAGACGAGAACGGCTGGCTGCCGAACAACCCGCCAGAGATGTCGCCGAAGTTTAGAGAGGGATAGCTCTGGGACGTTCCATACAGCGCATGCTGAGTTGAATACGATGTGGGGAGCATGCCACTTGTACTATGTTGACCTTGCAAACTAGCTGGCAGCAGTCGAACGCGTGCGCATTTCTCATCGTGAATTATGCCTAATGGTCCTAATTCGCTTTCAGAAAATATTCAAGTTCTATTTTTTGAAGGCAGAGAACTAACACATCAGCGTTACATCACGATAAATGGCTGTGGCCACAGTGCAATCAACGGCGACGATGCAGGTCCTCGCAGGCGATGAACACTAGGACCATGATTGGAATACAAAAAGTGTGGCCAACGCCGGGATCGAACCGACGACCTTGGCGTTATTAGCACCACGCTCTAACCAACTGAGCTAGCCGGCCTCAACCCTGGAGTGGGTAGATTAATATATATACTATGATTAACAATGGCATGCAATGGTAGAATTGATGCACTTCGGATGGTAGCCCGCAGTCCTACGGGCAAAAGTCTAGTCGTCTGAATGCTATCTGGGATGTCCAGCTCTGTTCGGCTATGGTTCGTATTTTTCCAATCAATCCCTCAACACATGGCTTCCCACATGATGCTAAACCTCTTGGCTTGCCACAACTCACTCGCAGACTGCTACCTGTCTGGCATTTGAATACCCTCCCTGAGTGCAGCGGCTTTGAAGAGGCAGAAGACCCGTAAAAACGGCGGCATTCGGTCTCAGAAGCACGGAGTGACAATCTATTTTGCGTGCACGTCTTCCATCCACGCGCAAGAATCTCGAGTCCAGGCGCGCTTGTATTGGTTGGCATGTGGTTGGCATCTCAGCGATATGGTTGTCCCATCCGGAATTCCCAGCGTTCGGAATGCTTATAACTGACGGCGGCGGGCGCAGCTTGGCTATCTAGGATCTCTCAGGCTTTTCAGCAGGGACATCAGGATGGCGACGTTGAACGGCTCTGCGTCCTTGCGACACCACACGCTCGAGGAACTTGATGAGGTCCGTTCATGAATCAAACGTCGGTGGGTCTCGCATGCAGATCGACTCACGATCGATCCTACAGATCTATGCAAGGCTGCGGAAGACGTTCCAGGCAGGGACGACTCGACCTCTAGCCTATCGCCGCCGGCAGCTTCTGCAGCTCGCCCGTCTCGTTCAGGACAATGTGCCTGCACTGCAGGACGCGGTCTTCGAGGACCTCGCCAAGCCGAGGCAGGAAACGATGGTATCTGAGCTCGGTTCGGTCATCGCGCAGTGCCTGTACGCCGCGGAGCACCTCGAAGAGTGGGCGAAACCAGAGGAGGTCCAGGGAGAGGCCTGGCGCAGTCATTGGAACCCGACTACGTACAAGGCGCCGAAGGGCGTGGTGCTTATCATTGGGTGCGCTGACTCTTCGCGCGCGCATTGCGATACGTCTTACGAACTGACCATCGTAGACCTTGGAACTACCCGTATATCCTCACGCTCGGCCCTCTGGTCGGTGCACTCGCCGCCGGGTGTCCTTGCGTGGTGAAAGGATCGGAGCTTGCGCCAACGGTCGCACAATTGCTCGCCGATCTCTTTCCCCAGTATCTCGACCCAAACGCCTACGTCTTCGTGAACGGAGCCATCCCGGAGACGACCCACCTGCTCAGTTCGAGATGGGACCACATACTGTTTACCGGCAGTGGCAAGACCGGGCGCATCGTTGCCGCAGCCGCCGCGAAGTACGCCACTCCTGTGACGCTGGAGCTCGGGGGCAAGTCGCCCGTGGTCATCGCTGAAGATGCCGATCTTGAACTGGCCGCGAAGCGTGTCCTTTGGGGCAAGTTGCAGAACTCTGGACAGGTAATCTTTTTTACGTCGTACCGTGTTTGAACCTCTGTCTGATTCTGGACACCCTTTAGCTATGCGTCTCTCCAGACCACGTCTACGTTCCTCGATCCAAACAAGATGCGTTCATCGCAGCGCTCCTCAAGATGTACAACATATTCTGGCCCAATGGACCTTTTCACAAAGACGCACAGTGGGGCAAGATCGTCAACCCCACACACCACGCGCGCCTCAAGTCGCTCTTGGAGCGCACGAAGGGCGATATCGTGATTGGCGGGTACTACGACGGCGATCGGAGGATCGCCCCGACCATCGTCAACAACGTCACGCTAGACGATGCGCTGATGGAGGAGTGCGTGTTGTTTCGTTGGCTTCCTTCTCGATGACGCTCGCGATTGGGTATTGACTTCGTGTGGCGAAGCGAACTCTTTGGACCAATTTTGCCCATCATTGTGGTGGAAGACCTGGATGGGGCGATTCGGTTGATAAATGGACAGTGCGTAGGTGATCTACTGAAAATGGGCGCGGTGAGCTGATAAGAGAGGTAGACCAACGCCTTTGACACTATATACCTTTACGAACAGTAAGGACACGGAAGAGAAGCGTAAGCCGTTGCGTCGATTGCTTCTGTAGGAAACATCTCATATTCTCGCGAATCAGTTCTGGAAAGCACGAGGAGCGGTGCTCTTGTCATCAACGACACCGTCAGTCATCTAGCTGGTGCGTGTCTCCAGTGAAATAATGATTACGACCCTGTTGACTATCGAATCTGATCTATCAGTCTACGAGATGCCGTTCGGTGGGCAGGGTGATTCAGGATGTAAGTCAGCTCCTCGTAAATGATCTGAAGCCCCACATCCTGTGTACTTCCTCCAACAGATGGCTCCTGGTACGGCAAAGCAAGCTTCGACACCTTCACGCACCTGCGCGGCTTCGTGCACATTCCAAACGCGTATGTCCCATGCTTCGCGGTCCTCATGCTGCATTCTCACGTGCGACATGCTATTCCGCAGTGGCGAGCCACACATGGCGAACCGGTACCCTCCGTACACAGACGCGAAGTACGAAGCGATGTCGGGCGGCGTTCATGTGAAGATTCCAGACAATTGAAGGAAAGGGGAGTTGCTCGAGATAGCCTCCATTGCTTGTCCGTGTATGGTATACCCGCGCATCGAGCAGTAAGCAGTGCAGAGAGCAAGTGGCCGTACGAATGAAAAAGCGTGAAGTATACATGCGCGAGGGGACCCTCATTGTCGAGATTTGAGCAAATTGCATACAACATCACCACTCCTCAAATGGTTGGTCTGTCCGATGTGTGTAATCATCGCCTCGACCAACTTCTTGCTGCTGATTTGCTCACATTCAACGCTGCCGGGACATAATGCCACTGGAAAGCAACTCGGTTGTTCCTTTGTGATCACATGAGGAGGGCGGGTACGCAGATAGATTAGTATCGCTTGCTGCCGCTATTCCCCTGTCCCATTAGTCCGGCGTTGTTCTCTGCCTTGGTTATCGCTGACGTTTCTTCGTGGGGCATCAGCATCACGGATTTCATGCACCCATGTGCTCCTGGTCTGAGTGCATAGTACTGATGACGATGATCATAGTAAATCACCATAAAGAAAGCATCTCGACCTTTCGATCGCCATGATCTCTGTCAGCAGCATTTTCAGTACTCATGTTATGCATTCTTTTTTATGCTCCTCTTCGAATCTCTGCATCTTCATAAGAAATATTTTTGGTTTTGGTCTGAGGTCGACAGCAGGAACCTACCGTGGACCTAACCCCGCCGTCGGTCCTCAGAGGGTGGAACGCCGGGCCGGCGGAGTTCACTCTTCACTCCACCGTGGTTCCAGTTATATGACCAGTCTTACAATTGATGCAACGTTGAACGTTGACCGCAAACATGGACCATCTGGACCCACTCTCTTCCCTTGTCTCCGCACTTAAACGAGACCACATCATCCCGGATGTGCTTCCGGAATCATTTAATCCATCTGTGCTCCTTTCTGTCGAATACCCTAACGAGCAGCAAGTCCTGATCGGCAACCAGCTCACTGTCGAAGATACCACAGAGGAGCCCGCAGTCAGCTTCGTGCCGATGAACCTCCCGTTTGAGAAGGCGGATAACACGGGAGAGGATGTGGGAGAAGAAGCGACATACACCTTGGTGATGGTCGACCCGGATGCGCCGTCGAGGAAGGACCCGAAGTTCAAGTGTTTCAGGCACTGGGTGGTGCGTGGATATGGTGTTGACCATGAACATGCGTGTGCTGATGGGGGGAATTGCGATGAAAGCTTACGGGCTTGAAGTCTCCTGCGCATTCTGCGAGCACAACGGCGGATCCCCAGGCCCTGAAGACGAAGGCATCTACGACACCATATCGGCCCCCAGGACCTCGCCCCGGATCAGGACAGCATAGATACAGTGAGTAATGCTCCTAGTGATAGGCATGGTTTATTGACTAGATGACCGCGCTCTGGGACAGTCTTCTTACTCTACCAGGAGCCTGCATCTTCAGAACCGCTGGCGATCCCACAAGGTGCTGCAGAGCATGAATCGACATTGGAGGAACGGCGGAGCTGGGATCCCATAGCATTTGGAGACAAGTACGGCTTGAGACTAGTTGGAGCAACATACTTCTTAGTGAATGCCGCAGGGGCAGAAGAATGAAGTTTATGAAAGTCAGATGTGTCAACAGTTGTCGTACGGCTGACATAGCTAGACTCGATATTCATACTAATTGCCCTCTGCAGTCACTTCGCTTTCCTGCTGCACTGCTCACCGGATTCTGGTGGAGTCGTAGTAGCATTGCTATCGATGTCATCAGGATTACTACTACCGGTACGTACTGTGATATATGTGTGCAATCTCGTGAGACTGTATTACATGCTACTTGAAGCCAGAAACAACATAATTCAGATCGTTGGACATCTACAGCCACGAGCTTGACCAGCCATCGATATCGCTGTGCACAAGATATAATTCAAATCTACCATACATCTTGCTTGTTCAAAGATAATATACAAGCAATTGTGTGGTCTTATGGCCTGCAAGGGAACAGTGAAGTGCGTCACGACGCGGCTCAATTCACCAGTCTGCTTTTGGCAAGTGACTTTCCTTTACCGGTGGAACTACTCTCGATGACGGTAGACCTCGACTCTCACTACGTCATGCATTCATGCCCCGCCCTAAGGAAGATCTATCAAATTTCCAGAAATCGATGTCTCCAGCATATATAAAGGGCTTCCTCTCCTTTAGATGTCCCGTCTCTTTCATCAACCCACTTCCACGGAATTCTCTCATTGAAAACATTAGTATCTCAATGCTGGACATCATGCCTAATCATTCAATCACCCTCACCGATTGTTCATTGTTGATTCGTTGCTCCTGCACACCTTGCGCACTCGCCGTCCTCAATCTCCTCCGAGGCGCTTCAATTCTTGACGGCTAACTTACAAGCTACCATAATTAGGTAAGATTGATCTTCTGCAGAGCGTTCGCCGGACACTCTGCTCTGCATGAATTGACCAAGTTGGCGTCCATATAATTGCCAAGTGAATAGCGACCTTCACCTCCGAGCTGGCATACGAGCGCTCAATCACTGACACGGCCATGTGACCCCGTAGAACGCATTGCTTGAGCTTGTTGTGGCCGAGGTTCAAAGAAGCACAGCATTCACAGCGCCAAAAGAGGTCTCGTTGCTATCATAGCCGATTTCCCACACCTCGTCCCTTATCACTTCTTCCCCCCGTCGACGCATCCGACGGCCTTGTATATACGTGTACCCGAGACCTCTTTCTTCTCTTCGGGTGGGGTGTGGAGTAGATAGTGTAATTCTGTGCTTCTGATTTATTCTTTATTGCTATAAGGTGAGTATGGCTCTGCCGTCGCTATCGACTCACACTTCTCACTTGTTACGATAGATCTAACTATTTCATCCGAAGAAACACTACGGCAGCGAGTGACGATCTTGACGAATTGTACGACCAAACCAAGTACTTGCGTATTCTCATGTCTTCATGTTTGTAACTGCTGCCATCACGACTTTCCCAGCTGCTGTATACTAAAGCTAGGTCATGTCCTGCTGTTACCAAGCGAGGAGCATGCCAAACACGCCATCTCGCTCTTCATCTATTCCGGAATCGTCCTCCTCTTCCTCTCAGGCCCATTCGGCCACGCCGCCTCCCCCTCGAGACATTCCATCTATCCGTCTGCTGTCCGCAACTCCATATCGTGCGGGCGACGCGTCGGATGCGAGTATGTCCACGCAGCATACACCACCATCATCTTCATCATCTATTGCTCCACGCTCCGAGGCGAGAAGCAAGCACCTTGTACCCAAGAAGTCGAAACTCCAGAGCACAGGAAGCAAGTCCAAGGAGAAGCTGAAGAACGACTTCTCCAGCGCTGTCCGTCGCGTCAGCGGAGCGTCCGCGTCTCAGTCCGCGGACAGGGGAGGCTTTGATATCTACGTCGACCATACTGATGACCCGGACCTCGAGGAGGTCGTAGTGGTCAAGAAACGGAAGTCGCGCAGGGGATTGGACAACATCAGCTGGGATACTCTCGGTGATGTCACCAACACTCCACCTGGACAAAAGGATGGACCTTCGAAACCTAAACCCAAAGTGAAGGAGGACAGTGACAAGTGGTGGAGTTTTGGTCATAGCCATGAAGGCGCCAAAGTTCAGGAGAAAGAGAATGACAAGGCGAAGCGTAAATCAAGAAGTGAGTTATAAAAGCATCTCCTGTTGCACGCGTTGTCGCTGAGCATATAAATATCTAGCTTTTGAGCTAGCCAAACCTCCCGGATCCCAGGGTTGCAACAACCTCCTTGACTCTGATGTCGGATTGTCGCAAGCTTCTCATGTGCAGACGCCTTCTGTTTCACATGACGAATCATTCCACACGTCAGGTGAGAACACAGCACCTGACGCAACCGCCCCTACCGGTTCCCTCGCAGTCCGAGCGATGAAGTCTGTGCGATCACTGGCGCGTATCACGAGCTGGGCGCAGGTCGGTAGTGATGCTAAAGATAGCATGAGGGGGATCAGAAAACGTTGGTCTGCGGGCGCAATCATGCAAGACAAATCGAAGGGGAAAGAGAAAGAAGAAGCAGAGCCCAAGAGGAAATTGAGCAAGAAGGAATCGAGGAAGAAGGACAAACATAGAAGCAGCGCAGAGAATGACACCAAGAGGTCAGAGGCGGAGAATGCAGCGAACAATGAAGAGGACGAGCGGAAAAAAAATATTTTGCAGTTGCCCGGAAGTGAAGCTCACGTTGCGTCTCCGAAGATAACGCATTTGCCCAGATCACCATCCGTTGAAGAATGTCCTCCTAGGACTCTGAGGAGGATGAAGGGGCAGAGTGTTTTCGGAATACGTGGAGCGCCAGACGATGTCACCTCTCCCGCCGTGCCAGAGGTACTCCAGGCATCAAGCGTAGAGGAACAGCCATCGAGTACGATAGGGAAGAAGAGATCGAGCATTTTGGGTCTCGGCATCCCTTCAAGCTACAAATTCACAACACTCCGAAATAGATCCTCTTCATCCCTCCTCGAACGTATACGAGTACCAAATCGCCCATCTTCTAGTGCTGCCCGTTCTGCCGCAAACGCTCACCATCGTGCAACATCCATTTCCAGCGGATTCTCCTTTCGACCAGGATCAACGCGCTCTGGTGGATCGGTGCTCTCGGAGCGCACGGTATCCTCTGGGACCGCGGTCTCAGTCCGCTGGGATGAGGAGGGGCTGCGCTCCGCGAGGGAGATGCAGAGGAAGGAACGACGCAGCCGCGCACTGGACGGCTCTCGTATGAGCCGTAACTCTGCTGAATCAAAGAGACGTGCGGCGATACTCGACATTTTTCCGGAGGCGCGGCTGCCAAAGTCTTCGCCGTTGCCCTTGTCTGCATCCACCTCCGAGCATACCACTCTCGTCAACGAGATGGCCGAAAATTCTCCTACGGAAAGTTCTACTGCGCGCAGGAGGCGGCGATCCATTTCCGACCCGATGTCCAGTAGAGAGAGGCCTGTGCGACCAGCCGATTCAGATGGTATGTGCTCTCTTCTATCACATTCTTGCAGAGTGAGTTACTCAACTTTAAACAGATTCAACGACCATGTCCGTACTGGACGCTGCTACCGAAGATCTCGCCTCGCTGATCGACAGGCTCGATCTGGAGGTTGCACCGGGAGCCCACCTTTCACGTACGAGGCTCTCACCCGCTTCGCATGACGAACAGGCGAATGTATCTCAGGAGAAGGATACGAATCGTAAGGGCAATTCAAAGCACAGCTTAGCTGGTACACGCCATTTGTCCCTACCGTTACGTGGGAAGGCTAAGTCCTTCCAGTACGTTCGGAGCGTGGATATCGCGCGCACCCTTGTGTCCGAACAAGAATGGGAGCCACCACCTGAGAAGGGCCCTGCTGGGGTAATGGCGGCCCCTGAGCCTACCCACCAGAGCGAGCCTTTACCGACTCCTGACCTTGGCTCTCCGTTTGTCTTCAAGCCGTTACGGATATCAAAGGCGAAGTCTAACTCGATGGCTGGCGCGTCATCGTCGGCTGCGTTTGGAGCGAGAGGATCCATAGATGGCTTGACGAGTGATGTTCCCATAGGCCATGAGGCTGCTTCATCTCCTGTTCCCGTCTTCAAGGCACCTGCTGGGAATACCTGGACACGGCCTTCTGTGTCAAGCACTTCCCTTGACAAGGGCAAGCAAACCTCAACGACCGGACAAGAGTCAAAAGATGATGTTGCGGAGGTATTCAGGCCAGCTGGGCCATCCATGGAGCGCCCCGATCCCAATGCGGACATTCTGCGCGACTTGCACGCACTACTTTCCGTTTTCTCAGATGATCTTGGCATTCACCGCTTGAGCGATACACTCTGTTCATCCTCGTCCTCCTCTTCAGCTTCTTCCTTCACGGCTCTAAAGGATGGCACAGGCACTATACCAGGCTCTGCTACTCCTATCCTCCCGCCTATACCCGCCATCAGCCTGTACGACCAAGAGGATATGCCAGCGACTAGTGATTACTCGGAGGACCACACTAATCAGTCGTTTGGCTTCATCGGGGAGAGACGCAGACTGAACGCATCGGGCGACCAGCGCAGCTTTGTGGCGGAACTGGACAGGGTGTTCAATTCTCCGCCGAGGATTGAGCTTGACTTCGGGCTTAACGAACCTCTCAGTCTGGACGCTGCAATGTTGTCCCCGCCTTTCTTCACTACCGATCCCACTTTGCCGACGTGGGCGAATTCTTCTCGTGAAGATGCGCCTTCGGACGAGACCGCCCTCCACGGCGATTCGAGCATGTCTGGGTATCGGAATTCGTTCATATCGGAGGATTTTTCACAAAGCCCTCAGGATGATAGCGAAGATGAATGCCGAGTGTACTCTATGCCGAATAGGACAGGAATCATTCACCCACAACCATCTGGAGGACAATTGAACAGGAGTTTCAAGTTCGGTGGCAGGCCGCTGGGTTCTGATCCAGAACAGGCAACGTCCACAAGGCCCATGACACTGTCAGATATCATACCTCCCATTGTCCCGCAGGTACACGGCTCGAGCTTGATCTCCAGTCCTTCCAGCACAGAAGAAACCAGTCTTCAGCCCGAATCAGGAGCCATCGACACATCGAATAGCCAGCCTGTCTTCTCTCTCCAACGCATTCAATCCAATAGCTCCAGTCATGCTGCGTATCATACGTCCTTCACTGGCAGTGAGGCGGATGACTCCCGTCGCGAGTCGCATCTAAGCTCTATGGATTCTGAGACTTTCGAGGAGGTCGGGCGAGGTCTGTCGTTCCCCGTTGACCATCTGTCTTCTATCTATTCTCCCCCTGGAGCCATAATGAGGCGCCCGAATGGTCCTGATGAGACCGTGCTTAGTGCAACATTGATATCCTCAATCAACTCCCTTTCACCGGCTGAGCCTTCATGGCATAACCTGCTCAGGGCATCACCGATTGATACGACGTCGATACCGACGTCAGTGCATGATACATTCTCGTTCATGTATAGGAACCATCATCAGAGGTCCGACAGCGACGCCTCGAGCGTAGAACTTCGACCCACTCATGTTGGTGTTGTCGAGCCTCGAGAAGATCAACCTACTGCGAGCATGGGTTCCGTAGCTCACCCTGATGCTTCACATGGTGCAGGTGATGGTCGTGCCGCTTGGGCTAGTCATAGCCGGCAGCGATCGTTCGACTCACCTTGGAGCGAGATATCACTGCGCCCTGAACGACCTGGTCTAGGCGACAAGATGTTTAACGAAGAAGGTCGTATGCCACTTGCATTGCCTGCCGCTTCCCCTAGGAATGTACCAAGTCGACGGCCCTCGTGGGACTCGTCCATAGAGGGCGGGCAACCTTCTCTGCACGAAAGGCCCTCCGGAAATAGAGACAGTCTGACTTCTGCGTCTCTAGACTCCGTCTTTGGATCCGGCGGTACACAACAAGATAGGCAGCTCTCTATTCAGCAATTCCGCCCAGTGTCTGTTATGAGCGAGACGAGTTCGCATGACTCGCAAGACGATGACGACACCTTGATCACCGTAAGCATTTCGTTCTGTGTATATCTCGTGCTGTTACTCATGCTTGAGTAGATGTTGGATGGAAGTCGTGTTCGCCGCCGGTCCATCCATTCGACATTGGACGCCTCCCCTTGCGCAACTTTGAGAACCAAGCAACTTCCGCAAGTAGATGATAGCATTGGAGAAGGTAATTCAACACAGACACCTGCCTATGCAGAAGACGCTGCTGTGAACCAGTTCGCTGAAGGCAATGATGTGATCGCTTCGAATACAGTTCCAGAGTCTGCGACATGCTCGCAAGAAGAGTTGCCGCCGCAACAGGGGCTCCTCACTGACGAAACCCACACTGCGCCATCTACGGTATTGACGATCCCCATTTCTGTCCAATTGAATTCCCAACAATTCACTTCCGTGATTCCAAGCAGCTCTCCTGACCAAATTATCGCGGAATCCAGCAGTGGACCATCGAGGGCTCAGCCATCCGAGATGCAGGGCGTGAACAGTGCTGCAGTGTTTCGTCAGGCTCGTGCCAGGGCTCTGGCTGCTTGGCATCGACGTCGAAAATCCCAGTCTGCTCCGCCACGATCCCCAGTGTACGAGACAATCCTAGAGGAGTCATACAGTTCTGGTTCTACATCGAAACAGTCACCATCTGCCTCATCCGCTCAAGATGACGATGAGGCCGTAGCAGACCAGAATGCTGAGCCCATTGAAAACGATGTGGATGGTCCACAAGGTGTCAGATTGCTGCGCCAATATTATGCCCTCAAGAATGAGGCGCATGAGACAATCGTCGAGAGCAGGCAAACTTGGCCGAATACGGCATCCTCCATTAATGCTGTTAGGTGTGAGTAACATCTGTTTCGGCTCCCTTGTGCATGCTCATTGATACTCTCTCGATGATGTTTAGCCTTCATACCACCCACAACAAGGGAAGGCATGCGTGCAATGCTCAAGCATTCGCAAGAGCACTACAAATCCCTACCATTCACGTTCAGCGTTCGCCGCAGTCGGTCTCGCGCATCATCAAAAGTATCGCCCTATCCATCTCCTAGTCGTGTTACCCCGAGGTCTGCAGAGAAGTCAAGGCGGCTTGTAGTTAGTCCCAAGCGCGGCCGTCTGACCAATTCGTCAGTCGCGTTACCCGCGAAAACTGTGCTCCGTGAAATCTCTGCAAACACTAATAGCCAAGCCGACACTACTCCGCCCTCTACGCCTCCCTTGAAGATCATCAAGCGCTCGGATATTTCTAATGCTAGGATCGCGAGCTCCAGATCACTAGAGAGGAAGCCAGCATCTCCAAGTCCTGAACGCTATGACGTGTCACCGAGTGTTCATCAGACAACACCAGACAGCGAGAAACATGCAAAAGGGAAGTCCAGTTCCATACACAAGAAGGAGAACGTTGGATATGGACTGAACAGGTACATCCTTTTGAGAGTACTCTACAACTGCGACTGATGTGCTCTGTTCTCGCACAGCCCCGCAAAGACTCTCAGGCTAAACCGTCCGCGGCCCCGTGGCCGCCTCTCAAACGTGTTCCCATCAAGACCATAGTTCTCAATATGGCACGATCTCCGGTTTTGTCACCTCTACGCCAGACACGCCTGCTTAGATTGTCCGCCGCCGCTTTCACACTGCACATCTGTATCACGCCAACGCATCAGTCTCTTTGCTACACCTTTTACGTGCTGTCATGACTCAGCTATCCATTTAGCTGCATGTTCACTAACGAGCACTCAAGCTGACCTATGGGATCTTGAGGCTCCGAATCCGACGACCAGTTGTACGATCTGTCGTGCTGTGCTCTCTAGTGCTCTCTTTCCTTGCTCGCTCTTGGAGGCCTTTCGTTCTGTGATTCCACCAGTACGTTGGACCTCGACCTCCTTCAGACTCGTCGTCTTGCTATCATTGTTCTCGTTCAAGTGTTCCGCTTTTTCCGAAAGGAGGCTGGTCTCTCCGATTTGTTTCTTGTATCATTTTTCCGATCTTGATGTACCATTCACTCATGAGCCTGAAACCATTGTATCACTCTGCGTACTGGGTGTATTAATTTTACCTCCCAACCGTGGGATTCCGAGGTGTCACGCCGCATGATGTTAGTCGAAGCTTGTATGCAGAATAAATTCAATACATGCAGCGTGGTCTCGATAAAGTCAAGCCAGCAAGAGACGCAGGAATATTATGGACTTCTGACAAAGCTTGCAGCTGGGCCGTCACGTTTCATAACACCAACATTGGCTGCGAGAACGAGTCAGATGTAATAGAAATTCTGCAATATAGGTCGTGCTCTTACCACCTCTCCGTTCCCAGCCCTTCTTTTTGCTGCTTGCAGCGTTGCCGCTCATATTTAGACTTCGCTTGAAGAATCTGTTGCTCTTAGCTCGCGGTAGGACGACGCGAGGAGCGCCTGTGGGAGTGACAGATATTTTTGCAAGCGTGCGTATCGTTCGGGAGCTAACAAGCATAAGAATAAATGGGCATGCAAGGTGTCTCAGCGTAGCATGGACGTACCCGATAACAATGTCTTTAGCCTGCCGTTTGGCTTGTTTCCGCTTCCTCTTAGATGGACGGTCGGTATCCGATTCTTCATCCAATCTACGTTTCGTCGACTTGTCAGCCGTCTTGGAGAAGGCGGCGTTGAAAAGATGGTCTGGTAAATAGTCGCTTGTGGACGCAACGAGGTGCGACGTTCGTGCGTTATCCATATCATTCTCCTCTTCCGGACCATCCTCTTCTTCTGACGAACCTGCCGACTCCTCTGTGTCTGCTTCTGATCCCTGGGCATCATCATCGTCCCCTTCACCTTCTTCTGCATTTGCCTCACTGTTCTCCACGCTTGATAGGTCCGCATCCATGTCCCCATCCCCTTCAAGTTCGTCCAGATCATTCTCTTCCCCGTCTCCGTCTTCGTCGGCTTCCTCTGCAGCCTCCTTCATAGCACGCTCCATACGTGCTTCAAGATCATCAGGTGCATCGTTTCCACGACTGTCCTCATCGTCATCGTTCTCTTCCACCGCGGCTCGAGCCTTGCCCTTTTTCTTGGCCGGGGCCCTCTGTCTCGCTGCGACCGCTTTGGCATGTTCTGCCCTCTCCTTCAACACACGGTCACGCTCGCGGTTTCTTTCTTTTTGCTTGAAATTTTCTGCCGCTTGGGATTGCTGAATAGCATTCTGCTCCTCTCTTGCAGCCTTTTTGGAAGACCCGAATGAGAACGTCTCTGGTGCCTCGTCCTCACTGGATTCTGAAGCGGCTCGTTCAGGCGCCATAGTAGTAGCAAATCACGTCGGATACGCGAATTGTTTCTTGAAATGTGTCGTCAGTCAGGGAAGGGAAAGAGGATCACCGGCGGCAAAGAGTAGAGCATTTATTTCTAATGAGCACACAGTATGACATGAAACCGTGGGATATATCGCGTGATCGTACTTTCTATGCTTTTGTGGCAACTTCGTGTTCAACGTTCATCACCCGTCCACCATCCAGTCCTCGTGCTATGCGTAACGCCCGTCAGAATTGTGAGTATCTCAGAAAATATGTTATGAACTCATAAAAGCTCTTCGGGAACGATTTGGAACGATTTATCCTCAGCGGCTCGTCGTGTTCTCCGATTGTAGCCTGTGTGATCCAGGCGTATGACTTCAATTTTTTCAGCGCCCCACGGTAGATGTTGCGTCATGTCGATGTTTCCTAACAAGCATACGGCGGACGTTGTTGCATTTCCATAGTCGGACAAGGTCGCTTTCCGCTTGTTCAGCCTCCCGCAACCGCTTTCTGGTGCGTTTCCCATCGTAGCCGCCAAGAAGTCTCTCTACTTTGGTGTATCTGCTGTGCATTTGCCACCCCCTTTCAACACCAACCAGCGATGATCTCGATGCAATTGATCAGCTCTTGAAGACCTCATTCAAGTACGGCATGGAACTTGCTGAGCAGCAGTGCCTCCTCACGCTTATATATCCTCACTGGATACGAAGTCGGCCTCTGTGAGGATACGGCGTGACTCTCAAGTGCGGAATCATAGGCAAAATCCGTGTTGCGGACAGAAAATGAAGAATTCATTCCATACTGCACGTGTCGGCATCCCGGTAGAGGTCCCAGAAGGACTGTACCAAGTGTCTGCTTGAGCCCTCTTCTGGTTGATCCAATATCGCCATAGACGCTGCTAAAGAGCCCTCCATGGTATAGCCAGGCGGTATAGCGACGACTACGACCTGTTGGGCTTTCAATGTGCCGGTCATGGAGACCGCATGGTCAACGTTCACTCGCTGCATGATCGCATGCTCGACGCTTTGAGAGACCCCCCCTCCCAGTGACGTTGCTCTCGTTCAGGATCTTACGCTCTCCTCTGTCCGTTATCTCCTGTCTGAAAAAGTGCGTTGCGACAACTGCTTATCATGAAGCGGGCTCCGCGATTGCCACGATCTCGTGTCTGGAGCTGAAAGTGCCAGTTATCGTATAGTGGCAATGACAAGTTCGACTTTACTGTGCATTTTCTGAGGTGGGTCAGTGCTGAAGGATTAGCATGGGTGCGTACGTGACGCAACTTATCGGATCGCTTGCCATTAGATGCTCGGTATAACGCGGCTATTGCCTTTATATCTGTCTCTGCTCCATTCAAACTTTCGACGCAAACTTCTGCAACTCTATCAATGTTTTCAAGTGAGCACTCTTCTGCATGTATTCAAAATTGGTACAATTTCATACGCGCCTAGCGATCAGAGCACGTAGCTAAGTAAAGTGCGAAGCAAGCACATTTTAGCCTTCGGCAGATCACGGAGTTGCATGGGCTCCCACAAATCTTTTCGTTTTTCGTTGCATTTCCTTGCTCAATGTTTGCTTTATACACTGTTTTGAATGATCGTGCGCATCATCAAAGAAGCGCAATGTCACCTCGTGCTCAACAGCGCTGTTCCGGTTCGAGTGCCTGCTAAGAGCGCCTGGCAGCTTTCAGCCAGTTTCAGCCGCAGCCAAAATCCGAGTGACGTCTCGACGTCCCGTCCACGCGGCACCCCGGCTATTTCATCAGTCAGAGCTTAGCCATACGCCGACGATAGAACAGTGCTGACGACATAAAAGTGCTGATGGTGGGCAAACGACGGTATAGGTGCTTCGAGCGCTTGCCTTTCTGAGGCACTTCGGGCTTGGAGGCGGTGTGGCCGGGTTCTCAGAGTCAATTGGCCAAGTACGTCCTACGTTCCTCGCCTGCCGCTGAGCTAATAGCTGTTTCTCAGGTGTCATCCAATCCGGTAGCCTTGACCACATTCCTGCGAGAGCTGGAAGCGTGTCCGAGATCACGCATAGTAGTCGGAGCGCCAATAGACTCAACAGTTTATAAGCGGTCTATTGCAGGGACCGGGCGTCCGTCGACTCCCATCTTCTCATACCTGCATTATCTTCGACATTGCGATCGTAACGTGTAATACTTCAGCATGTGGTATCCGAACGACGGCGCCGCGGAGCAAGTGCCACCTTGGGCACAAATGCCGAGTCCCTACCAACAAGCGCCAATGTACATGCAAGCGCCTTTGTGAGCCACTTTTCTTGCCAGGTACTGTGCGGTCACTAATGATATACTCATGCGGGAAGACTGTATCCTGCGTGCGTAGTCTAAAACCTGGCAGCGAGTACATGAAGTAAGTTCACGACTTTCTGGTCGTACTAGTAGCCCGTTCGATGCTCCGCCGGTCCCTTTTGCACCCATCGGAGCTCCTAGCCCGTATAGTGCCGCGGCATCCCTGCCGTATGTAGTCTCTTGCATCGTTTTTATATCGTATTGCATCTGATGTCATCCTCGCCTCGTCTGCAAGTAGCTTGAGTCCCAGATATGCCCCGCCTCCGCCTCCGCCTCCGGGACCACCTCGCTCGCCTCCTCTGACCAAGATCCACACGACTCATCACTGTAACAGCCATTATCTCCATATTCATACTCACACGCATTCGCCCCAGCAGACTGATGCCCACAAGACGTCGCGCGGTAGGTATTTCTCATTCTATCTATATTGAGAGATGTTGAAGTACGCTTCCAGAGCCGAGGCCTCAAGTCCCATCAACACAGGTAGCTTCTTCCCAGTCTCATTCGCATCACCATTTGGGCCCAGTCTATTCGAAGTGCACAGGAAGAAAGAAGGCATTATGTGTAGGTAATCTATCGCAGATTTCGCAAGGCATGCAAGGCCGTATTTGGGAAATCTGCGACTCGCTCACAGTACTATTTTTGCTGTATCTCAATGGTTATCCACATTCTAGATCGGCATCAACTACACTGGACAACACAGAGAACTGCATGGTTGTGTAAACGATGCGAAGAATGTTCGAGAGTTCTTGATTAGTGAGCCAGCAGGAACCCACGCAAATCACTTTCTTACGGTGCCGTTCATTGCACAGAACATTACGGTTATAATCACAAGGACATCTTCGTACTCGTTGATGATTCGACCCATCCACATCGGCAACCGACGAGGGCGAACATTATAAATGCCATGCACTGGCTCGTGAAGGACGCAAAAGCGCATGACTCACTCGTCTTCCATTGTGCGTTAGATTGTCTGTATGCCTCCCGATCCGCAAGATTTCCTCACTTATATCGGCAGACTCAGGACATGGTGGCCAAACCAAGGACCTCGATGGTGATGAAGTGGATGGCTTGGACGAAGGTACTTTATCTGAGTTGCTATTGTTGTTTCAGATAACGGTTGATGTCATGCATAGTCATCTTTCCTGTCGACTACAAGTGGAAAGGTCATATAGTTGATGATGTACGCCATCTGAAAGTATTACAATGCTCATACAATATCTCACGTCAATATTCCCACAGGAGCTGCACAAGATAATGGTCCGTAAATTCTTATATTCAGAGTATTGAATTTAGATGTTGCTTCAGGTCAAGCAATTGCCTAAAGGCTGTCGTTTAACGGTACGCATGAGTCTCCACTTTTTTTGATAGCTTTGTCTAATTCAGATCAATATTGCGGCATAGGCATTGTTCGATGTGCGTTGAAGAAATGCTATTCATGTTGGAATGTCGAAGACATTATTTTTTAGTCTTGCCACTCTGGATCTGCGTTAGGTATGTCCGTGAGCCCCCCGCAATCACTGTGTTTGCTTCATGCTTTGCCTGTCTGGGGCCGTTAGATCTACCATACCTGGTATGTCACCCTCGCGCTATAACAGCGTATCTATGTTGATGCAGCACACATCAAGTACCATAGCGATGGGCGTGTCAAGGGTCATAGCGAAGTGACGCCAAGCCACGTCAAGGAGAAGTCTACCAAGGCAGATGTGGTAGGCGATGGTTGCTCTTCATCTGTCAAGCTTCATTGCCTAATTAAGTTCTGCCAGATCTCGTTCAGTGGATGTACGGACTCTCAAACCAGCGCAGATACGTACCAGGGAGGTGCTGCTGTTGGCGCAATGAGCTACGTACGTGTCTGATTCGACTGTCGTTCATACCTTGTTATCTATGATCTGACTTGGCTTTAAAGGCATTCATGAAATCTTTGAGTGAGTATAGTGGCGAAAGCACTTCCTCAGTTATTTCCTTGTTCATCTTTATATAGATGACAAACCGAATCAAACATACCAACAGCTCTTGCTGTCTGTGCGGTGCGCATACTTGCATACATTCTACGGCCACAATTCTGACTACATCGCAGGTCCATCTTGAAGAAGAATTATAGCCAGAAGCCTCAATTATCCGCTGCACATCGAATCGTACGTCTGTGCTGAGCGGCCTGTGTCCGGACGCTAACTCGAGAACGGTAATTCTAGGATACCACTCGTCGGTTCATCATGTAACTGTCCGTCTTTGTATTGATGCGCTGAACATTTCATGCCATAAGATACCATGTGGAATCGTTATTCAGGCAGTTATTTATTCAGATCATGTTCCTTTGCATATTTATATAAACAGCAGTTTGGAGATTTATCCATACAGGTCGCCATCATAGTCTATCCTACACAGCGCATCCCTATCCAAGAACACCAGCAACGTTTATATCCAACACTCAAACATGTACTTCTGATTCCTGCCGCTTGCGGAAGACGTGAGGTTCTATCGTCTCGGACCGAATGATGGACTTCCACAGCTGCCTCCATGAGATTGGATTGCCCTGCAGGAGAGTAAATCCTCCATGGTCAGTCGTTGAGGCAAATAAGATCGGGGTTTCTACGCACAGAGTCCCTTCGCATGACGCAGAAACTACCATCGAGGTCGCGGTAGTGGAAGGGTTCGATCTCGACCCAACCCTTGAACATCAGGTTGCGCTTGTCGAATCCACCTATCAGCATCTGCAGCTTCTTCTCTTCGCTACCCTCAGAATCGTCCTCTTTGGACTCGAGATCCACCTCTACGGCAGGTTTCCACTTGATTTTAAGGCCAGTGAAGACTTCTTGCATGAGTGGAAGGAGAAGTTTGGGGCCAATCTGCGCGTAGAAACGGGTGAGGTGTGGTGTGTATCTTTGGCCGGATTGGGTTTGAGACTGGATGCGAGTCGATCAGCGTAGGACACGGAGAATTGCCAAGTATATTGACGCACGAATAGCATCAATGACTGCGTAAAATGCGAGTTGTGCATTATAGGCTCCATTGTCATTGAGACATCGCCCTCTCCGTCCGCCCTGCTCTCGAGAGATTAGCTATAATGCTGAAGAGAATCTCGTCGACGTACGAGAGTATGCTTGCAACATTCGGCGTTGCAATCTCGAGATCTCCCGTTTTCCGCAGAGCCTTTGTCAGGTCCTCCGCCAGCGCGGCTAGACCATGCTTTCCGATTTGACTCGGCCTGATCAGACATGAGCAGGCGTGACAGGAGGATGATTTTCAAAGGACCATACCGGGTCATCCACGGACGCGCACTGATCTCGGTGAGAGACATTCTTTGTGATGGTTCAACGGCGAGCATGCCAGTGATGAGCGCTGCATCCAGAAAGATGAGACGATCACTGTTCAGACCCATGACGATGATTAGAGTAAGCACTGACAAAGGACGTCCTCGCTAAACTCGTTCCATGGCTTTTCATTGAAACATTTGCCGGAAATGTAGTGTGCGTATTCATAACTACGCTTGGTCGGTTCGTCCCATGGCGTATCTACGATGAGTGCAGAGGTGAGTGGATCAGAGGGCGTTCGCCATGTTTGAATGTGACTGACTTCCGGAGAGCATGGTATAGAGGATGACTCCGCATCCCCAGACATCAATAGGCTCAGCCGCATAGGGACCATTGAGATTCAGCTAGGTCAGACATCTGATGAGTTCGTCACCTCCGATGCTGAGAACTGCGTCTAGCACTCACCTCAGGAGCAACATAAGGGAGACTGCCGCACCGCTCAGACAAAGGTCGAGTCTTCCCCTTATCCTTGAGCTTGTAGACAGCACAAAGTCCAAAATCGCTAATCTTCAGAGTCCCTGCTGCATCGAGCAATAGGTTCTCCGGCTTGAGATCTCTATGGCAGACTCCTTCACCGTGAATGTATGTCTGCGATCGAGCCATGTCAGCGGATCGGTCGAAGGATGGTGAGTGGATGATGCTGCATACGAGGCCAGCTATCAACTGTGAGAAATAGTACTGGGACACATCTTCTCCTATGCCGATATCCGGAGCTGTATTGAATGCAAATGCCAGATCAGCGATAGCCGAGGTAGCATAAGTGTTGATCGAGGACGAACCTATCTTATCAAACAGATCACCCCCCGCCGCAAGCTCAAGAAGCATATACAAGCCTGGGTGATAGGGTGTCTTCTGATCGGGTTCGACCATAACGGCGCAGATAAACTCGAGCACGTTTCGATGCTTGAGAGCAGCGTGCACGCGCATCTCCTTGTCTAGGATCTTGCGTTCTCGCTCGCTTGTATCCTTCGTGAGAGCGATCATTTTGCATGCTGCCACGCGCTGCTCCTCCAGATGGACAGCCTCAAAGACACTGTAAATGGCATTCAGTCGAATCGAAAATTGTATCAGCTGAAGGCGAGCTTGTGAGATGAAGCTTGAAGAATTAGAGGCTCTTCATGTAAGGAGTGCCGTCAGAAGAAATTCGGTACTGCACACTGAGATATACAGATCATCGCAGCCCATCGCAGCAATCAGCGAGCTGTGTTATCAGTAGCTTCACGGAGGTGTACTATCATGCTGCAATCATCGATGATCATTGCAGTGCTGGCACCAGATCATGCTTTTCTGTAAGCTCGCCTGGATAGATAATGTGGGGATCTCGGTGTTGAAAGTATTAAGATCATAATCCAAATGATATAATATGTTCTTAGCGATCCGAAGAGTGGAAAAATGAAAGGCGTTATATTTCAGACTCCATGACTTACGTGGAGAAACCTCCGCCTGCGATCTTTCGCACAAGTCGGTACCCTGGAATACGGAAGTCAAACAGAGTTAATCCATAATAATATCAGCTCACCACTAATTTTGGGGTATCTGAGCTTTCTTTCTGCTTCCATGGGCGCACTGGGTGGATGGTTGAGAACAAAGGACGGGGACGCCACCAACGCGCAGCCGCGCGACGCGAGCTACGACGCGCCTGTCACGTGTCATGTGATCGTACGTCACAACTTTTTTTTTTTTGCCCTCAATCACTGGTGGCTGAAGATATTCGTCGCAAAGACAGGCCCGTTTGTGGTGCCATTTGCGGTGATATAAGTCAGTTTGGTGATGAGATTTATATTCGGGATTAAAGTAGGTCAAATCAGCTTTGTGCAGGTAAAAATAGGCCTGTGTCTGCTGTGATTGTCCGACACGCTTCTGTGTAACACGCGTGTTTCACTGTGTACACCCGTTCTAACTCCGGGCTCGGATGCGTCCCAAGACAAGTCGTTTTGTACTACCAAGATGACAAACTCTTGCGTGCTGCATTGAACGTTCGTGTGGGACGCGACGGCAATCCGCAACCCCGAACACTCGCGTTGCTACGAAGCCACGTTGTATGTCTAATATTCTTTCTTTACGTGCTTGTGACGTAAAATGCTGAACATCTTCAGACAAAAATATCGCTGGTCGATAGCAGCTCGCTCTCACTGGATTAAAGGGCACATCGTCCATCTGCTTTGGCGATCTCAACCATCTGTTTGGTCGCTGACACTTATATGTCAACGAGGCCCAGGAACGGTGCACTCTGAACTGCGACCGCAGAATGAATGGTTGTGATGAAACGTCGCCAAGGCTTTTGATAGACTTTTTGTGGAACCGCGCGAATCCGAATACAGGTACAGCCGTAGCGCCCTGACGATCAATCGAGGTCACGACAAGATAGAAATTCACATACCTTTTTGCCCGAGTTTTAAGAATCGACGAAGATGACGCAAAACATCAGCAATGTAAGGCGTCGGGATGCAAAGTCGCCGTATATTGGCGCAATGCATTGACTTCAGAATGAACCAAATATGTCATATCGCACTGATACAGATCGCTAGATTACCGAGTCGGATCTAGAGCCTCATGGGAACCCAAAAGTTGCCGATATTGGATCCAATGAGACCGAGATATTTTTTCCGGAGCGAGAGTCGCACTCGACAGCTCGCACGCCTCCCACCGCATCGAGGCTAGCCGGTCGTCGCCCAAGCTCCATCGGTCATGTCCTTGGATGACCGATAGTCTTTGCTGTGCATTGTTATTTCAACCCGATGAGCATCCCTGGTCCTGATTGCAGTAACATTGACCAACATGGTTGATTGGGAAAGCCCTGAAGTGATCGCCAATTGCTCCTATGCCTTCTCTCGGATGCTCATGGTCTTTCTTGGAGTTTACGGGTACATCGTGATGCCTACTATCTCGCGGTTTGTCACTGACATTGTCGTCTGAATAGATGGGAGTTTCTTCTGACAGTGCGATTTGAATGGCAACTCATAACGAGAAGGATCGCCTTCAAATGGCCTTATGTACGTCAGCTCGTCGGATATGCCAGGTCAGAACGAAAGCATTGACGGCCATGCATAGGTTTCATACCTGGCTGGGCGTTACTCACTGCTCGGAAACCTGTTCTTCCTGTAACAAGTCTTTACCTTGTATAAGCAAGATTCCATCTGACGAGTTTCCGGCGTAGTGCGATTTCCGATAGCGGAAAGACTGCAAGGATTAATTGTCGCGGTATGTTCATCACCTCAGAAACTGATATACTATCGTAACGTGCCACAGCGGCATACAGGTTCTTCTCAGTGAGTCATCAGCACTGGATTGCTGGATTCTATTAACGCAATGATCCTCCAGATCTTAGGATGTGCCTGTGTCATAATGTCGAGTATGAACCTCAGTGTTCGAACGTGGGACATATCTCAAAATTGGTCACATCGTGCTAAGTCCTGATAATTCTGGTTCTTCCACAGTATCATTGTATGGAGGCATAAGCGATGGATCGTGTTATTGCTTCTACTTCTACATCTTGGGCACTGGGCCGTAGGAATCACAGGTAAGCTGATAAATGAAGCTCAACTACTCAAGTCACGAATCTTGTCCGCCGCAGTAAGCATCCAAGATCTCAAAACGTATTGGAGCGGATCCTCTTGTGTGATTACGACGATCCCGTATGCCGGCACTCTTACCTTCTATATATATAGTGAGTTCTACCCGTGCTCGCTGACAGTTGTTTGTAGCTCAACCTGTTACGTACAGCACTCACATTCGATTCCCTGATCATGTTATTGACCGTGCGGGGGCTACACATGGGATGCGGGCATAATGCGCTGTACGAGCTGCTTCGCAGGCAAGGTATATGGTATTTTGCCGTGACGATGATGGTCAATGTACCGGCGCTGGTGAGATGCTATATCACACCTGAAAGTCACGGTCTCACTGTGGTATAGGTTTTGTCGGCGCTTCATTTAAACTGTGAGCAGTGAGCTCTCCTTATGTTCGGTTGCATCCAACTTACGTGTGGGTAGCTATCATGAACATCATTCTCTGTCCTCCGGGTAGGTTTATGACTGCATCACCAGAAGTCATGGCTGGGCTAATCATTCCTATCAAGCCGAAACGTTTAGGTCCGCTTCCCTGCAATACTGTCCGAGATGTCTACTGGACAATTTTGTTTCAGTGTAATTGCTTCATCTCGACTGGTATTATCCCTCCTACCGGATGGTGACGACGACGGTGTAAATGAGTCAGTCTATGTTCGCGACCATCAGGCATCCGTTACTGACTGTGGGTTTTCCCTGAAGTATCATCGCAGACTCCAACGGCTCCTTCCCGCTGCGGAAACTATGGAAAAGCGAAACGGATGAGCTGACAACTCACATAGTCATGACGGCGTGAGCGCTTGGCTAGACGGTCGTGTCATACTTTTACTGCAGAGACACTTCACCTACTACAACATTTTATTAACCAAATGTACATGTCTTACAGAATATCCGGATGCACGAAATCTCTCCAATTCTGCATGACAGATATGCTCGCCTCCTACACGTCGACGTCCGGACTCCAGACATAGTCCAGGATCATGTCGTTGAGATTGATGTCGTTACGGCCGACTTTGTAGTATGAGCCCAGGTCTGGTATACGCCCAACATCGCAGTCCTATACGGCTCAGGATGAGATTGAGAACAGCATGTGAAGGTCAGAGCACACCATGATGAATCGTTGGTATTCCGAAGCCACTCGGTGCGCCAGTTCTGACCGCGTGAGAACTCCATGAGCGCCTTGTAAGGGCACATCAACTCCTCTGATGAAGCCGTCTGAGCCATAGCCCGGCCACTGTGACGAAAAAGCGCATAACATGACACTCAAGTATCGTCTTCGTCAATACACACCAAAATGGCTACTTTGATCTGACGGATGCCTTGCAGCTCCTCTCTTTCGAAGACGGGCCTGTCACCATGGTAGATCAACTTCACCTTCAAGCAGTGGCTGAGAAGAGTTCCTTTGATCGGATATGAGTTGTTCGGACTAAAGCTGGCGGGAGGAAAGTCAATAGCATGCAGAGGACGCTCTTTCAGTAGAGAGATGCCAGGATAGTATGGAGGCATCGGAACTGTCTCAATGTAGTTGCCACAGTCATCAATATAACCGACAGGTTCGCTTAGCAGGCACCGCGAGCGGATATCTTCTTCGGAGAAGGAGTCGAGAATCAAGTAAGCTTCCTCTCTCAGTCTTCGACTCGGGCTTGGAAGAGCGTAAAAAAGAAACGGAGATGAGAATCCGTGAAGGAGGAAGCCATATCCTTGCGCATTCCTTGGGTGTTCACCCGTGATCTGCACAGTATTAGTATTGTATCGATATCTGTACAAGAGGAGCATAACGCACAATCAAATAATCGACTTTGCTCTTCTTGTCTTTTCCTGGAATGGTTTCAATATAATATTGCGAGTTGGCTCCGCGGCGGACCGCTTTTGTGGTATTGGTGGTGCGCATGAGGTGTAGTGAATTCAGTTCATCTCTCCAGCTGAGGTTCGAAAGGCCATTGCAGACGTCTACAAGCTGGATGCCCCAGTCCACCGGAATTGGTTGAGGTGAGGCAAACAGATCAGTCACAGCGATAGACATGCTGAGGTAATATTGCCGGGAAGGATATGCAGATTACTCCACTGAGGCTCTGGAAACAGAGGCGTTGTGGAGATGAAGTTGGAAGGGCTTCGGGGATACGAAGCACTATTTAACTTTACGGATGCGTTCCCACGAGGAGGAGAGATCAAAGACACCATCAAGCATGAGTTCTCCGGCCATTCGACGGGTTCCATGTATGCTGCGATCGTAACTCCGCGGCAGGTGGTGTCTCCGCGAATTTGCAATGAACGGGATGGCCACTCGACCTTTCACGTAATTATACAAAAAAGTGTTGCCGTCGCCAGAAGCGATAAGCTACTCATCTATACGCCGAGCGGCATATTCGAGCTTGCTGTGGGAGACCGCACGGTCGCTGTGGCGGTTCAGGTATCTGGTACCACTTGTGTTGACGATCATGGTCTCTTTTTTCTGCTCTTCGAGAGGCATATGATCCAGGAGCGTTTCGTCAGCCTGCCTGTAATGACGGGTGTATGTAACTAATGTTGTTGAAAGACATCCTCCAGATACCACATGGCGAGTAGATCAGCGAAGGCTCGGAGTTCTTCCACTGCGAGATCTGGTAATCGTTCAGGTTCCGCATGCCTTCCGTTCTTTGCCAGACGGAGGATGTCAAGGACTTCATCTAATACAATTTGTGAATGCATTTGGCCTGCGGCTGCACACACACCGGAAATGCTGTGTGCAAACTGGGTAGCGAATAAATGATGGTGCACTCACCGAGACTTCGATGGAAGATCCACTCTGGCGGCATCGTCCACTCTCATTCGCGATGTATGTCCTACTTCCTCGGATTTCGAGCTTTATTCCCGCTACGACAGTAGTGGGTTCTGGGGGGTGGGTAGGACCCGGGGGGGAGGTGCGTACACTCCGTCACATGTGACGTCACATGCTACCCGAAGTGGCAGCGAACGTCACATCTTATCCCGCCCGTGATTTGGCCTGTCCTAACCGCCGCCATCCGTTGTTCTCAGTTTCATTCATCTTAATCAGACAACCTACCCATCCGCGCTGGTCGTGGATCCTGGAGTTGCACACTGACCTGAAACAGTCGACCGCCATGCCTTCTTTTATCTCTGCGAGATCCTATGTCTTTTCCCTCCTGCAGGTCTTGTTGATTGTGATTCCTTTTGCAGTTGGAATAGATCTTCCACTGTATCGTACGGTGACTAGAAGACTAGACAAGAGAGACAATGGCTCGACAGCGATTGGACTGGGGGATGTCCTTGATGTGTATGTGATACTACGCGTTGGCGAAGGATGTTGACTGATTCGGATAGCACCTACAATGTCGTCATGAGCGTCGGAAGCACTGTCACGACGCTGGTTGTGGGTGCGTCTGAGTTTTCTTACTCGTGTTTCTGCACTGATGTGTTCTAGACACCGGGTCATCCGACTTGTGGCTCGTCTCCGATGCATACACTGGCAATGGCTCTGAGGCCGAAATACCACTCTACTCTCATACAGCATTCCAACCGACTGGTCTAGATGCTGAGCTCTTCTATGGTGACTCTCGCACGGGAACATACGCCTCTGGGCCCATTGGTGGGGACATGGCAGGCATTGCCGGTCTATCCACCAATAACCAGAGCTTTGCTGCCATTAATCGAACAAACACCACCGTGTTCCAAACCGGATCTGCAGGTATCCTGGGACTGGGGTTCCCGCCAATCAGGTGAGTATTTCACTTTGGGAAACCGCACGATCCACTGAACACCTTCTGCAACTCAGTATGATCTGGCGCCAGCTCCTGCAAGCCGCACTCGCTGATGAAGGATCTCCTCTCTCCAAACGCGAGCTATCGCCAAACATCTCTAGCAACGTCGACACGGGCACCATCGGCCATCCACCCTTTCCCTCCTTCGAATTTCTCACCCCTGCGATCACCAAGCGCAGGAAGCGTCTGTCTGATCCGTCCCACACCGACTTTGCGATTGCCTCATTTGCGATGTTCGGGCCTCTGCTCGCACGGCTTGTGCTGCAGCAGGCGCTGGACCAGCCGCTTATCACAACGACACTTCAGCGCGACACTGTTCAGTTGGGCGGGAACGCCGGGGTGCTCTCGCTCGGTGGGCTGCCGGCGGGCGTACGTGAGGAGCAGTTGGTGTGGGTGCCCGTGAGGGCGTACACGGCGGATCAAGGTGGGCTGCCTCCGCCAACGGATGCGCCGAATGAGGTACGTGAACAAGGTCTTGGATAGGTGTCACAGTGGTGTTCCCCGTTCATTTTTACGCAGGTGTATCCGTTGGTTTGGGAGGTTCCCGTAGACGACGTGTATTTTGACGACGTCAAGCTGCCCCAATCCGCGCTGGCGTCACCAGCTATATCGCTGTCGGCGCTGATTGATACCGTAGGTTGCTCATGGGTGGAGCTCCTCTGCTGCTAAGTTATCCACTTTCAGGGAAATTCACTCATCCGCGGCCCGCGCGACATCCTGAGTCATATTGTCGCGCGCACTGGCTCGACGTTCGATTGCAGCGTAGCGCACAACCTCTCGTTTCTGATCGGCGGCATGCTCTTCCCCGTCGACCCGCGCGACTTTGCGCGTCCGATTTCGAGCGAGTCTGGCGACGACGCAGTGGCAAAGTGCTCACCTGCACTGGCGGCGACGGATCCGCCTGGTGTGGGCGGCTTCCTGTACAGCTGGAGTTTGGGTGACCCGTTCTTGAAGTCGTGCGTCGTTCAGCTCGCATAAAGGATGCTAATCACGATAATTATTGCCTATGAACAGTGCTATGGTTGCATATTACTATGGCAATCTGACACATCCATCTCAGGATCCTCCTCGGGTAGGCCTGCTCTCTACGGTTCCGGCAAATGTAACGCAGGACCTGCAAGATGCGGTAGAAGCAGCCATATCTAACGGCGGGTTTCCAGGTGTGTGGTCGAAACACTCTGTACCATTCTCTTTGGGGAACTAAAAGGCACGGATAGCAACCTCCAATGCGGCTCCTTCTGGAACTCTGGCGCCGACCTTGTCAGGCTTGGACATTATTCCGCCGCCGACGCACTCTTCAAATGTGTCTGTGTTCTGGACTAGTGGCGCTGCTACCTGCACGAACAACGTAGCTCTATGGATTCCTCTCTTGGTCGGCATGGTCAGCGGGCTGGTGCTTCTTGGGTCTTTGCAGATATGACTGGTGATCATCTCTGACTGGGCTGTGGTTTCCTGTCTGCTTGCGACGTCTGAAACGTGAACATCCATGACCTCACAAACTATAAACACACTCTCCCTCGGACCATGCGCGTGAGGGCGGAATACTGACTGGCAATGTGTTTCCCCGCATTCTCATGTATAAAATGTAAACTAGTCGATCTTTTGGGTTCAAACATGTGTTCATCTATGCCACAGGGTAGCATATAACCTTCGAGCCCTACAGATGAGAGGGTACGTACGATTTAGATAGTAGCCGAGTCACACGTCACCAAAGTTTCAGGCCTGTCTAAGCAGCATAAAGGCGCATGTGGATGAAGTCAATGCCTCGGAAGATGTGGTGAAAGATTGCTCAGATATTTGGTTTGACGGCGGGAACGACAAACGGTGGCTGATGTTCAATACATACAGCCGATTGCTCCGTCATTGTTCCCCCGCTTACTTACCTGGAACAGTAAGACCATTGCCGATAGGAAGATCGCGACGCTGTCACCAATCAAAAGTCCGCATTCTTGCAATGCTATAATGACACGTCGGGTGCTGGCCCGCGTCGAATGCATCTTGCCTCTCTTTCTCCTCCATCCACGCTGCTCGTGTGCCACTTTCAGCGAAGACGCCGACGTCGGGTATAGTTCCTGTAAGTGCCAGATGATCAGTGATGCCTGTTGGTGAATTCGGACTTGTCTGAATCGTTCATTCTGTGCTGAAAGATGTGGGACTGGACCTGCGTTATGCCACCGCGTAGCGGTTGCTACGACGCATTCAAGCGAAATCTCATTGCTCACGTGCGCGTGTTTTGACCAATCGACGTCGAGAGATTTCGTATGCACCAATTTGTCATGAAAGTCTACCCCGCGACGGCGCGAGCGCTAACCCCGCATTCCATCGATAACAGCGCGCGTCTCGTTCGTTCCTTCCGCTGGAATTAATTGTTCCTGAAGACCATTTCACGTCCGGCACAGACATCACCGACTCACCACATAGCGCGCATCGCTCAGTGTCGTGCGATGCTGGCTCCATGCTGGGCGGGACGCCGCGGTCATGTGCTAGATCAGGTGCTCGCTGCCCCGCATTTCCTGACTCGCGGGACCTCGGTCCTCACACTAGCTTCCCCAGGCTTTCCCTCTCCACTTTTCGCGCGGATCGTGTCTCTTGGGAGCGGTGTTCGGTCCAAACCGGCACAGCAGCAGTCTCGTGCACCGGTCCACGGCTATAATAGTGTCGGTCCGCCTGCAACGCACCGCCGTCTCTCTTATATACTCACCGCGCATAGTGTTGGCTGTTCCACACTGCGCTTGCGCGAGGAAAAGGTGGACCCTCTTGTTTCTATCTCAATTCCAAGGCCGTGCCCTGAACTGAGAACACGTACCCAAATCCAATACCCACGGCCACCATGTCCAAGACTCTCGATTCCACTTCGGCCATGCTTGCGAACTCATCGCCCGCTGTCGCCCTTACTAAGAAGAAGCCCTATCCATTCTGGCTCGGAGGTGCGCTTGATACGAATAGAAGCCTTTCATTCCGTCAATGACTGACTGGCGATCTTATCTCCGCTCGGTCGGCAACACAGGCGTCGCTGCCACCATCGCCGCGTCCGTCACCCAGTATGTGACCGATGCACTTGCAGGTGGTCGTGCACCCTGACCGCTTTTCTCGTGCTCGTGTGCACATGTAGCCCGCTCGATTTGACCAAGGTTCGCATGCAGGCGACAGGGGACAAGGGCATGATCCAGTCGCTGCGCAAAACGGTGCGCACGGCAGGCGTGCGGGGCCTGTTTGATGGCATCACGGGCACGTGGCTTCGTCAAATGTCCTACTCGCTCTGCCGCTTCTGGGCGTACGACGAGAGTAAGAAGATCACAGGGGCTGGTGCGTCGCGAATGTGAGATCTGTATGAGAAGCTAATCTGATGGGTTTGGAGCAGGCCCGCACGCGCCCGCATGGAAGCTTGCACTCTCGGGGAGCATGGGTGCGTATCTCCGCTGGTCCGTACCATTGTCGATCCGACTGATTCGGGGTTCGTGTGTAGCGGGAGGCATTGCCGGGTTGGTCGGCAATCCTGGAGGTGCGTGCTGTCAGATCGTGTCGTTGAGATTCTGAGATTGACTTGCCTTCTGATTGCGCCGGGTAGAGATCATCATGGTGCGTACTTGCTATTCACACAGCGATGGCGGGCGGGTGACTGATGCACGTGCGCTTTGCTGTGTATAGGTTCGCCTGCAGGGCGACTTTGCCAAGCCGCCAGAGAAGCGGTTGAACTACAAGAATGCAATTGATGGGCTTTATCGGGTATGCTGGAGACTGTTTTTGAAGCGACCTGCTAGGCTCATGTGATCGAACATCTGGGGTTGCCTCCGGTATGGGTGATATGTAGATGGTGCGCGAGGAGGGCTGGTCATCCCTCGGACGGGGTTTAGGCCCCAATGTGTTTCGTGCAGTGCTGATGAATGCGAGTCAGCTCGCGTCGTGCGTATCCATCAGCCGCATATATGCGCTTTCTATGCATGCTGATGACATCACATGCGCGGTAGGTATGATTTCTTCAAAGCGGAGCTTCTGAAAACAGGCTACTTTGAGGACAACATTGGCGTGCATGTCACCGCGAGCTTCGGTGCTGTGGGTATCTCTACGTTCTGGCAACGTACGGCGCGAGTTTGACAGAATGTGGGTTCTAGGGCACTGTGGCCACGACGGTGTGTTCGCCAGCGGATGTGATCAAGGCAAGTACGCCCAATGTATATCGTGTGAATAGTTTCTGAACAATAACTTTCTGTTGTAGAGCCGCATCATGAGTGCATCAGGGAAGGAAGGAAGTGTGAGTCTCGTCACGATCCTGCTACTTTTTCTTCTTTCTGCCCTCTGCTTGTTGCGTCATTACTGACTGCTCTTTCATCGTCATGCACAGTCGACGCTGCAAGTGATTAGGACGTCGTTCCGGAACGAGGGTGCAATGTTCATGTTTAGGGGTTGGCTGCCGGCGTGGATGCGTCTGCAGCCGACGACGATTCTGATTTTTGTGACGCTTGAACAGCTCAGGAATTTGGTTGATTGGACGAGAGAATGGCGAGGTGATGCGTGAGAATATTGTATTATCGCTAGCAGATGTGGACTGGTGATACCTGTCGCTGGTGTATACCAAGGGCTCAGACGAGCGCACGGCGAATACCTATATTCATTCGTGTGACGAATGCTTGCCAGAGCGCCGACGACATATCGCATCGATATATACGGTGCTGTTCGCAAGCGTACAGATCATTTCATCTAAAGTCGTCATTTCGTCCTATGAGCTTTATTCGCCATAGTCCGGCGGATGAGATCGGAGGCCACAAGATTTGTGCGCATCGACTTCACAGTTTCGCCGTGCATGTGTCTCTCCCACAGGTTGTGTGTGAATATCGACGTTAATGGTACTATCGCTGTGGGTGACGCTTCCAAAAGTGATGCGGCAATTGAGCGGGCGCAGGCAAGCCGTCGCCTCCGTGCCGCCTGCATATATACGCAGCGTCTGCTCCTCGCGATCAACCCTGTCGACGTTCGCCAGCTTTGCTTGAAAGCTTTCTCAGGCTGATGGTTCCCGGAGCCGCGCGTGAGGCGGACCCCGGACGTGCCGCCGGGACGGGCCGGTGGGACCCCGTGCGAGCGCGCACCTGAAGGAGTGACTTGGTAATCTGGCTACTCGTTCTCGCTCTCACTCTCAGGCCCGAGTTCCATCCAGACGCTGTCCCGTTCTCGCTGCTTTCTGCCCACCCTTCGTGTTCTGCGCTCTCTCTTCTTGTCTGCGTTTCTGTTCTTGCTTCTGCTTAGCGTGATTAGTCTTTCTGTGGGTTTTCTTGGGCTGCGAAGATGTCGCCAGCTGCGATCACGACCGAGGAGCCTGCTCCCGAGGTGAAGCCCTCTACTACTAGTAATGGATCTGCGCCTGGCACTCCGGCGGCGCCCGCGTCCTCGTCGAATGCAGCGAGCGCCAGCAGTAGCAGCAGTGCTGCGGCGATCCTCAAGGAGCGCAGGTTCAAGCTGAGTCGGTGAGCGGTCCCTTTGTCCGTGCTGGAAATGAATGCTGATTGGTCCTAATGTTGGTTTGGGGTAGGGCGTGCGACCGTTGTCGGTGAGCGAGCGGTGCCTTGCTGCGTGATTGAGCGGGAGGCTCATTCGTGTGCTCCGCGTGTGTGTTTTTGTGTAGGCGGCGACGGATCAAGTGCGATGAAGGTCATCCTTGCCAGTCGTGTCTGACGTCGAACTCGGCATGTACGTTTGAGGAGCCGGGGAAGCGTACGCATCCGCACAAGTCAAAGTGAGTGTTGTTTTCTTTGTCTTTCCCATTGGTTGTGGGTAAAGGAGGGAACTTGGAAGTGTGGCGGGTTGGGCCGGGATGAGATGGGAGAGTCGTGCTGAACCGCGGGCGGGACGATGGCGCTGCATGCTACTTCCTTATCTCTCGACCTCGCGTCGTGAGACGTCGTGCGTATATGCGCATTTATTCCTTGCTCAAGACGACGACGTTAAGCGCCGATGATCGTGCCAGTCACTCTATCATCTCTGCGCTACCGCACAGGGGAAGGGATTGTGGCCGATCTTGAGACGCGATGTCCCATCTGGGTCATCTGGGACATTTCCCACCGCTCGCGATCCTTATATGCGCGGAGGTATTGATTTGCGGAAGAATACCGCATATACGGGGCGGTTTTTATCCGCGAGCTCAGACGACGCACATTGCATCCCAGTGCTGCTGCCACACTCGTCAGACTCGATTGCGATGTGGAGTCTGCATTATGAGGAGAGGCTCGAGAGCGCACAGCCTTCTGACATCAGTGTTGGATACACCGGCCTATGATGGCACTGGTGGTGACGTTACGCTGCGGGCCAGTCGCCGGACCTTATGAACACACGTCAGCGAGTCGCGTGGTCTGTCGCTTCCATGTATGAGGCGGTGCAGCGCCCCGGCCCGAGCGTGGCGCGAGTGCGCCTCAGGGGGTGCTATGTCTGTGTTGGAACATTGATGTAAGAGCTTGGCCACCGATCACTTCAGCTGTGCGGGTGGTCGTACTCTACGGCTATGTTCAGTACATCGGCTCCGTATATGCTTGTATTTCTGGCTTGGAGCTTGCTGGTTGATAGCCGCTGAGGCACTCCAGGAATGCGCCGAGAATCCCTCGGTAGGCAAGGTAGCATTAGACTGCCTTCCTACCCGCAGGGCTGATGTGCGACGCTTTACGCGCATATATTCACGCAAACCTTCATCCTGTCTTCCTTCCCGTCATTTAAGCTCGTTACCATTGGCCTGGGCCTCACGTATGCTCGAATGCTCGAGTTCTCGTGAAGAAGGCCAGCCAGACAGTCAGGTGCCGCGGTGTGTTCGGTGTGTGTGTGATGCAAGGCTGTAGCGGACTTAATGCGGGGAGACACCAGGACACCCCTTGTGCTCGTTTCGCGGGGTTCGACCCAACCAACCACGACGGCTGCTCGACGCGCCGTGCCTGCTCCGCTCTTCCCGTATCTGCGTACTTGTCTATCTTTCGACGAAAGCGCTAATCGAATATCGCAATTCAGGCGGGCGGCGACGCTCGAAGATCGCATGCACCATCTGGAGACGCTCATTCAGGCTATTCCACCTGCCGTATTCGCTGCCGGGGGAAGCACCACCACAAGCAGGCTCTCACCGATTGACCCTACCACGAATCCACACGCGTCGTTTGCGTCGTCGACACATATCTTTCCTACGGCGGTGCCGCCGCCGTCGCTTAGCTCTTATCCACTCATGAACCCATCGACATTCTTCGCGCCCGTGAAGGCGGCGCGAAACCGTAGCCCGGGAAGCGTACCAAACGCGGGTCCAGAAAACATTGTAGAGGAGCCTCCGCGCATCGCATTGTCGTCCTCGTATTTGTATTTTGACGATGAAGGTTATACGCGTTGGCAGGGCGAGACATCTGGGCTGCCATTGTTAGATTTATTGGTTGAGAAGAGGGGTGTCGTGCCGAAACCGGACCCCGAGAAAGTGGCAGGGATGCAGGTACAAGCTTGGACGAGCCAAAATGGCCATGCGCAGGCGGCGATGGGCGATTGGTTCCCGGACAGGACGTCGAAGAGGACGGACAATAATCCGGAGATGATTTGGAAGCTTATCACGTCGTTCATTGCTCCGGAACTCATGGATAGGTGTGTGTTTGTCGTGAGACTGAGCGTCGAACAATTGGCTGACGGAAGATCTGACAGCTTGGTGCAGTGTTTCCTGTCGACATCATATTACTTAATGCCTTTCCTTCATGTGCCGACATTCCTTGCGGTACGTATGTGAACATAATTACGTTTGTTCATCTTGTTCATCTTGTCCATCCGATTAGGATTACGGTAACCCTCGAAAATGGGGCGAGCCTGGATTTGCGAGCTTCATCGTAGCTATATGCTGTCTCTCATCAAGACATATCGACGACCCTCGCGTCCGTGCGGACCCAGCTGATGGCAATAGTGCTGGCGCACAGTGGTTTGACCTCTTCGGGCGGTTGCGGACGCTCCCGAGTGCCGATCGGCCGACCATTTACACCGTGCAAGGCGTACTCATCGCAGGCGTGTACGCGGTGGGCTCAGGCAAGCTGTCTAGAGCGTTCGGCTTGCTCTCAGAGGCGGTGACGCTTTCCATCGATATCGGCCTTCACCGCTCGGTGGACGACTATGACGTCTTCGACGCAATCGAAGACGAGGTCCGGAAGCGCACGTTCTGGTGCGTATATCTATGGGACAAGCAGGCGAGTTCGTACTTTGGCCGTCCGCCCATGATTCGCCTACGCGATTGCGATGTTGGCGAGCCGGCTATCGTGGATGACGAATGCATCACGCGCGATGGCGTCGGTGTGCAGCCTGCCGAGACCGAAAGTCGCATGAGCGCATTCGTGAGCTGCGTGCGTACCTTCGTCGTGCTGGAGTCCGTGGTCGATATCCCGCCCCCATGCAACTTTAGCGATGGGTCCTCACCATTCTTAGCGCGCGCGACGGCCGTGCTCGGCCCTTTCAAGCGCGCGAAGGAGCTCTGCGAGGAAGAGGCGCTGTTGGACGAGATCGTGCGATCGATACCGCCCCATTGGGCGCATTCGGTGGAGACGATGATGAGCGACGATGTATTGCGGGTGACACAGGCGAGCCGGCTGCACTGCGCGCAGCAGTATGTGCGGATGCTCATCCACCGGCATCGGTTCTCGGAGATGGTCGCGGAGCGGACACAGGGCCAGTATGCGGGCGAGCAAACGGAAGCAGAGAGCGAGGCGATGCGGGCGGCGCATGCGTGTGCACTGCAGATCGTCTCGTCCCATTTGCATATCGCGGCGAAAGGTCTGATGACGTACTGTGAGTTGATAGTTTAATGTTAATTGGTTGTGCAGGAGGTGCTGACGTCCACTTTGTAGACGGCGTGCATGTCATCCATCAGCTCACTGCTGCCGGCCGCACGTTGGTCGCCATCTTGTTGTGTTGTCATCCGGAGCGGATGCAACCGCTGATTGCCCCTGGCCTGGAAGCGCTGCGTTCGTGTGTCGGCTTGTTGAAGCGTTTCAGTGGCCGCTATGTTTGTGGGCAGCGGTCAGGCGACCTTATGGAGGAATTCTGTAGATGTGGGTACTTTGATGCACTGTAGTCGAACTATACACTGACGATCACGTTTTCACCAGTGACGCAAATCCCACTGGAAGGGTCGCGCAACGTTGAGACACCCGGGCCTAGCAACCGCCCGCCCTGGGTACGCCCGGCGCGCAAGAAAACACCCTCGAGCGCACGGTCCCCTGCGAACTCTGCGGACTCACCTTCACATCATGGAAGCCCAGAAGAGTTCTCAACAAACGATGCGTTCCTTGATCTGCGGGGCACGAGCCAGGAACCTGCACCCTTCTCCCCATCGGCAAATCCATCGACTCAGAACGTCGCGCATGCGCTCTCACAAAACGCCTTCGGACTGGGAGGCCACTCCAACGGCGCGGTGCCCACCTTCATGGACACCCCCGGCGGTATGGACATGATGAACACCGACAGCACGCTTTCGATGTCTGCGAATGACATTTTGGCCCTCTTCAACGAAGGCAATGTGGATATGACCTCGCTGTTGATGTCGCCGAATCTGGGCGGGACGACGGAATCTCATGGTGGTGGTACGTTCTACAGTATGACACCTACAGCGAACGGTAACGGCGCTGTGGGCATGGTCTCGCCATAGCTCTACTGCCTGCTCTATGTGATCATTTTCCGTTTGCATTTTTGGTCGGTGCTGCCTAGTTGTACGATTGTCCGATTGCTTCCATGCTCTATTCTGCATCCCTTTGATGCTCTGTCTCGCATAGTACTGACCCTCACCATGTACTTATACACGAGAAGTGTCTCATTGTTTTCTCACTTGACGCCATATGCATTTGTCGTACATCACTACCAGCAACTCGTATGAAACAAAAACATTAGGTCGGATCCACTCGCGTGTTCTCCTCACGTCTTGTTGTCATTCGTTTTCTTCTTCTTTCGCTTTCTTCCAGCGCCATCCTGCTCATCACCTGCAACAGCTGGTCCTGGCTTTGGTGACTGGGCAACCTCGTCTGTGCCTTCACAAAGGGGCCTCTTCTTGTCATTTTTCTGCGGATTGTCTTGAGGCACAGATTCGGCTTGGTTTAGTGGTGCAGGTGGGGTTGCATCGGGAGGTTCTGTGACTTTGGATGAAGCATCGGGTGCAGATCCAGCATCATCCTGCTCCTCGAGGACGGTCTGCTTCGACTCTGCAGCAGTTGGGCCTGAGGCTGTCGCTGTCGATGCCGTCGTAGCACTGGGAATGACAATTTTCGGTTCTGAGAAGATTGCGCGATACGTCCTTCGCGTCTCTGCATCGCATTCAATCAGTGGCGTTCTTGAATTAAGCAGAACTCAAAACTTCTTACGAGCACGCAGAATTAGTGATTGTGGAACCCTGCTTATCGCATCATGCGCGACATCTTGCGAGAGGCCGAGCATGGTGATCCTGCACATTGACTTGCAATCAGCGTCGCGCTCTTCCAGATGCACGGATCCACATACAAATTAGCCACATCTCGCGGTGCTCGAAGGTCAGCATCGTTCAAGACCCCCCCACTGACCACAACTCCCTTTCCGTTCGTCACCCGTATGACCTCCCTAGCCGCCGCCCACCAATTGCGCTTCGCACCTGTCCCGCCCTCGCCGCCGATCCCACCGAGATCGACCTCGGCGCCGAGCGCGCCTGCGTACTGGATCTCGAAGACTGCGCCCTGCTTGATCGCTTTGCGGACCATGGTGTGCTTTAGGTAGAAGGGGAGGCGAGGGAGGGTGAGCGGGAGCGCGATGATGTGCGCGGTGAGCGGTGAGGGCTCGGTGCCTTTGTCGCATGCGAGGAAGAAGGATTTGGCGGTGGTGGGCAGGAGCGAGATGATGTCGTATGGGGCGAATAACGATGCGTTGGCGGTTGTCTCTCGGACACGGTAGATGATTAGGATACGGTTGCGGGCATCTACGAAGTGTGCTCACCAGTCCGTATCCCTGCTCGCTGTCCTCATCAAGAACGATCGTTATGCGCTTCAGGATCACAACCCCGGTCCGTTCGCGCAGCTGCGCAACCAGAGGATCTATGATGTTGACGTGGGTCTTCCGTTCGACCTTGCTGCGAACGGTCTGGTTCAGAGCGAAGACGGTGTATCCTACTATCCTAGTTCCATCAGCGTAGTGCACGTATATCGGATGCAGAGACGGACAATGCACGAGCAGGTCGATGCGTCTCTCGATGACGGAGATCTGGGCTGGTGTGAATGTCACGCTCACGGTTTCTTGAACAGCAGCGGGCTGCTTTCCCTTGTTCTTTTTGCTTCGTGCTTGCCCACCCAGGTGCATCGAGAACGATGCAGGGATTGGGACGTTCAGATCGATGAACATCCTTCAGTCGACTTGCGAATGTTTTGCGGTGGAGGCCGGGGTAGACATGCACGACGGTTAACAATTTCACTTCACTTAGTCACTTATCCCTTACAAAAGTTACTTGTGGTTCACTTGAACCTTATTTTGGCAGCACAAGTGAAATTGTCGACGTCGGGCGCTTATTCTCGGTTGCCTTCACTTATGCTCACTTGACACTTCCTGCATGTTGCCCACTGAGCAAGTGAGTACAAGTGACCAAAAGTGAACCCAAAGTGAACCCCTGCAAGTCTCAGTGACCCCAACAAGGCCCCTGCCGGGCAAAATAGGCATCAGCAGTCGCGGTAAATTCTCTAGATTTGTCCCTCTCCAACCCTTCTGTTAACTGGCTGATTCATTATGCATCGGCCACATTGAACTCAGACAGCTACTATGTAAATACTCCAAGGCTGTGTTATGCACCTACATAGCCCGCCATCACCGTCAAACCGCCCAGTTTTCTGCTCGCCGCCTCGGCATGTTCACATGGCTCGTGATGCGCCGACGCTGATGTACAGTTACGTAGCCTTTGGCGACGATTCGTCTCGCGGTGGCCTGACTGTAATGTGAGTGTTCGTGACCCATCGCAGTGATAACTCACATCGCGAGCTAGACTGGTGACTGGAGCGAGGTCGAAAGGGCGGCAGGGCTGGAAGCGCCAGCAGAAGAAGCCTTGAACAAGCCGGTGCATTTGTGTCTTGTCACAGTTTTTCCGCACCACAAGTCTCAAGCGCCCACGGACCATTATTTATCCACCCATATACCATATATAGAATGTACCACTATGCCTCCACGTGTGTATCTACGCCACTCGGACATCCCTCGAACATGTACCAGTCACATGACCCTACATCATGATGACATCATAGGCCTGGACTCCATAGACACTCCTAGACTTAGACGGACTCCACTAGGCCTGAGCACGCCATAGCACACCATAATGATGTATTAGTACGAATCTAGGGTACGCAGGGTCCTACACCCGGTACCAGAGGTCTTACCCCACTTGTATATATACTGGCTTGAGCTGAGGCCTACCCCTCAGTTTCGAGTTGATCTTTACTTCTCTACTCAGACCAGAGAACCCTGATGGGTTAGGCGAGAGCAGATACAGGAGTTTCTGAGATCCCTCACATAACTTGAAACTACTCTCTTTAGTCTGTGGGCACCGGTCGACGCCTCGGACTGTATACCTCTGTCGATCAACTCCATCTCTATCATGCTCGCCCAGAGCCTCTTCCCACTTTCCTCGTACTTAGCTGCACCCTGCTGAACCTCTTCGGTGAAGCGAATACACGGACTGTTAGTCAGGATACATAGGCCCTAAACCAGCCTCCTGCGAAAGTGGGCAACATACTACTGTCCCAAACCTTGCCGAGACCCCAGGCATAAGGGAACTTTCTAGTCAACCTAGTGGTTAAAACCAATAGGGCTGTTAAGAAGGGCCGGAGAGCCTGATGACGACAGAACCTACTAGGAGAAAGGGACACAGTACTCCGTAAAAGGGTGCCGCTATCGAGGATTCACCACAGCTAAAATGCACCGGTGGACCTCTGAAGCGTGGAACTGCTCATCCATATAAAGTATCCTTGGCCAAGCTGCCGTGCATTTGGATAGTCTGACTATCTAACTACGGTAGAATGCGGTCTGCTTACGACAGCACATCTGGATCAGTAGTAACAACCGCAGACAAGGGAGAACTTGCGGGAGGTCAGGGACACCTTTGAAAGAAACCCACTACAGGAAGCTGTGAATCAGCAACACTTCTGGACTGCTCTGGTGTGATCTGCTAAACCTCGAGTAGCGAGGGACTAAACCTACTTGCTCAGTGCTAAAGCGGCACCAGACACGTATTCAACCCCTGCGCAGTTCTGATCTCTTAGGGGTTTAGTTACCAATTCATATATAGACAAATAGTCATTTGACGTGGAATGAACTTTCAGAAAGCTCTGCTAGAACGGCAGGTGGACCAAGGTTACATCCCTTTAGAGGTAGTTGGACACTGGTGGTGAAATAATCAAAGACTACGAAGACCCCTCTGCGACTGCGAACCACGTCACTCCGGACTCTGTAACTAGACCTACTAGGAGTAGCAGGACTCAAAAGCTGCATCTGAGTCATTACAAGGCCTTGGTGAAGAACAACTCGCCAAAATCATGAGTAGGTCTCAGCACCGAATGCAAAGGTTCTCGTTGGGAGGATACACAACAATCTATACTGTAGTTTCAGGACCAGTAGAGTGGGATCAGACCTACAAACATATCAGTGTCGTATTTCAGGCAGACTTCATCTATCAGCCCCACGTCACACAAGCTCAGTTCATCTTTTACCGCTACCAAGTCGTCATTGACTACTATGACCAGCTCGAATATCAGCTGCATCGCATAATCCAGGAAGCCTTCTGGACGTTCCAACTCGTGGAAGACAGCCAGGAGTTGTACCATCTCCTGTTCGACGAGGAATACGGTATCTCCTCCAGCGACGAAGAAGAACCTTTCTGAACAGGTCATCAAAGCCCCGACCAGGTAGCACCACCGAAGATGGCCGCACAATTTGAACATTCCGTAGAAGAGCACCTGAACCCTGAAGGTCCAGGATCCAGGGCACACACTCCAACATCATTCAATGACACCAACATCATTGCCCCCACCCTGAGATACTTCATGATACCAGCCATGCTAGAAGCAATTGCCCGAAGAAGGGGACCTTCGGCAAGGTTGGTAGAGGAATTCGTCAACCTGTATCTAGACGAACCAAGGATGGGACGACGATTCCATCAATGGGAGTACGATATCTGGGCCCGAGACCACTTCAGAGAAGATCGAACCCCATATCGCACCTCGCAGGTAGATGTGGTGGCAAGACATGGAGGGGCAGAAAGGGGACAAAATTACGTTTGGTCGAGCCACGCCTCAGGAACCCCGCCGGGATACGAACGCTACACGTTTCCAGACAACAGACGGGGGTACTACTTGGCATGACCTGGCCTCCCCCCTCCAATGGAAGAAACCCCTGAATTTTGGATGCAACCTGTGGACATGCGACGTGCATATCAACACCTCCAAGCTGACTACAATCGCTTATGTGCACAACTCGACAATGCACGAAGGGAGGTAACGGAAGCACGAGAAGTGCGCTTAGCCACGAAAGCAACCCAAGACCGCCTCATGAGGGAGAATGCAGAATTAAAGAACACTGCAGAAAGGCGCACTATAGAGTGTGGGAACCAGATTCATAAGCTGGAAACAGAGCTGAACCTCGTGACTAGAGCACTCAAGTCTAGTGAGGAAAGAGTAAAGAGTCTCGAAGGTATCAACGAGACTCAGAGAGCTCGAATTACAACTCTGAAAGCCCTAGCAGCAGTGCTGCTGCCTTCTCCCATCCGATCGCCCAAGAAACTGGTCGACAAAGGTAAAAAGAGGCAGGATCCCACACAACAGGATATTCGGGAATGGGCAACAGGAGTAACCGGACCCGCCGGCCCTAGTGGGCTCAAACTGGCATGTCAGGCAAACCATAAGCAGCTGCCCCCTAGGGTGCAGACGCCCCCAATTTTCCTGGCAGAATCCTACGAGGGAGACCAAGATGATGAGTTGGCAGGGGTACACTACGCGTTCCCACCAGAGCAAGAGATTCCACCACCAGATAGAGATCGACGCTCTACAGCTCCTGCCCTGGCATCCTCGGACGAAGTACACAGAAAATCATTTTGAGGACTGAAGGTCAACCTTCCGGAGACATTTGATGGTACCAAAACCAAGGCAAAGGCATGGCTAGTCGATGTGATGAATTACATCATCATGAAACCCAGTGAATTCGAAGATGAGCAGGGTAAAATTCAATGGGCATTGTCTTACATCTGTGGCCCTCAAATAGACCATTGGAAGGCCTCCCTACTGGAAAGAATGATGGGGGGTGCCCCAGTCTACGCCATGCTCCAGGACTTCATCGCAGACTTCAAGAAGATGTACTATCCTGCGAACCCAGAGCTAGAAGGACAATGGATGCTGCACACCTTGCAGCAGAGGTTCAAGCCCTGTGAGGAATTCAAAGCCAAATGGGAACATTGAGTCAAGGTCTCAGGGTACAAGGATGAGCAGCTGCTGCTCCAACTGCTTAGGATGGCCATGAGGAAAGAACTCTGTGATAGAGTATGGTCATCCGAAGGTATTAGTCAAAATGTCAATAGCTACAACCTATGAAAATGGGTCACGGCTCAACTAGACCTTCAACAGCAGCAGCAGTGGGCATCCACCTATAAGGACTGAAAGGGCAAGGGAAAGCAAAAAAAAACTCCAAGACCCAGCAAATCCACCAGGAGGAAGGTGCAACAACCACGGTAACAGCAAACGTGGTCAGGACATCCGGAAGGGTGCCCATCAGGAATGTTGACGAGGCAAGAAAGGTGGTACTGCACAAGAAAATGGTCAGCGTCAAAAATGAATGTGACAAGCACCTGAAGTGCGGCACTTGTAGGAAGGAAAGGTCAGAGAAGGGGTCGTGCACGGATATATGGCACACCCACTACTACGATGAAAAGGCGCAGTGCTGGTGCAAAAAGGATGCCCAGCCTGCAGCTCGGGCCACTACAGTAGAAGAAACTAAGGCCATACGAGCATTCAAGGTGGCCATCGTGGTCAACCCTGCTCTGCTCAAACAGGCAGGTTTTCAATTCAGCAAGGCTTAAGTACGCAAGTCTTGCAGGACTCTCGACTCGATCCAGACAGTTCTGTTTCCCCGACCAGTAACGTGCATTCCTTGGTCACGGAGGCACAAAAGCCTGAGAAGGGCCAAGGTTTACATGGGTCACCAAAAGGTAGGTCTCCGGGGATGATCAGTTCGTTGGTAGTGGAGGCAAAGCCTGAGAAGCGCCATCAGACTGTATCTGAAAACACCTCAGAGGGATGTGGGCAGGAGGGTCTAAGCTCAGGTGTGGGAAAATTCAGTACCCCTGATGCAGACGACAGCACACCACCACTCCCTAGCAGATCTCGATTTTCTATTTTTTCCTCTCTCAACTGTATCAGTAGCACTACGTCAGACAATATGGGTACAAGTAGTGGTGCCCACTTTAATGTAACAGTAGTAGGAGCAAAAATGGGGTCTCGGGATGACGGAACCTTAGTGGTGCCTGATCAAGCTCGGCCGGATCAAAAAGCATCAGAGCTTAATTCCGTGAATAGCTCAATCTCTAACATTTCTTTAGTTCAGAACATGGACAGTTTGCAGGTGGAAGCTTCGACAATGACAAGGCGTACATCAAAGAAGAAGACACAGAAAACCACTCTGCGTGTATTTTTAGACCACCCACAAGCCATCGTACCTATCTGTCAAAAGAAGGCACAGCAGGATACGATCTGCATTCGGCGGAGAAAGTGGTCATTCCTGGATGCTCCCGTCTCCTCGTAGATACTGGCCTGAAGTTGATGATACCCAGTAAATGCTACGGACGCATCACTCCACACTCAGGCTTGGCTGTAAAACACGAAATAGATATAGGAGCTGGAGTAATAGACTCTGACTATGTCAGTCGAGTCAAAATACTCCTAATCAATACCCTTAATACCCCATTCTAGATCGAGTATGGGGACCGAGTCACCCAGCTGATCTTAGAACGAAACGATACCCCTATCACCGAAGTCGTAACGGAAATAGCAGAAACAGCAAGAGGGACTGCTGGCTTCGGATCGACCAGTACGAAACTGTGAGGACAATTCAACATCTGAGCAGTACGACGACATCACCAGATCGATATACCCATAACAATAGAAGTTGGGGATAGAAATATACTCGTTAAAGCCCTTCTAGATTCAGGTTGCATCAGGTGTTGCATTGACGAACAATTTGTATCTAAGTTCCAGATACCTAAGATACCGTTCGATCGACCGCTTCAAGTGTTCAATGTGGATGGGACCCCCAACCGAGATGGCAATATGATCCATTATGTATCATTAGACATAGTTATCCAGGGCCATAGAGAGCACTGACGTTTCAATGTGACTACCCTTTCAGACCATGATATGTTCCTCGGGTTCGATTGGTTGGAAGATCACAACCCTGATATTGACTGGGCTAAATGCACACTTCGCTTCACATGTTGTAACTGTGGGGAGCTTCAGTTAGAAGATGGGGATAAGGTGCTGGTGTTGGACAGTGACTACATTCAGAAGCAATTTTCTGAATACAAACACATATGAGCCACCAAGGCCACTGACCTAGCCATTGCTCAAGGCAAGAGTACCAAAGCTAAGAGCATGCAAGAGATAGTTCCAGAAGAGTATTGGGATTACAAGGAGTCTTCGAGGAAGCTGAATTCGATCAGCCCCCCGAATGCAGAGTATGGGATCACGCCATAGAGCTAATAGACAGCGCGAAACCCTTCTGTGAAAAGGTATATTCAATGAGCATAAAAGAACAAGAAGCTCTGGATATATTTCTCGAAGAAAACCTAAAGACTGGTTGCATCCGACAGTCTAAATTCCCCTGGGGCACCCCTTCTTCTTTGTTAAGAAAAAGGATGGCAAATTACAGCCGGTGCAAGACTATAGATGGCTCAATAAAGTAACGAAGAAAAATAAATACCTGCTCCCTCTAATCAATGACCTATTCGACCAGCTCAAGGGAGCCCAGTTCTACTCTAAGCTCGACATCCAGTAGGGCTATAATAACATACGGATCAAGGAAGGAAATGAGGAAAAGGCCGTGTTTGTCACAAACTGAGGTCTATTCGAACCTCTAGTGATGTTCTTCGGACTCACTAATTCACCATCAACATTCCAAATGATGATGAATGACATCTTCCACGATCTTATCCTCACTGGAAAGATTATAGTATACCTGGACGATATCTTAATATTCACCAAGGACATGGAGGAGCATCGCCAGGTTGTAAAACAGGTACTTAGAACACTCCGGGAACATAAGTTGATGTGCAAACCTAAGAAATGTGAGTTCCATGTCGAAGAAACTGAGTACCTAGGTCACATCATCGATCATGGAAAACTTCGCATGGACCCTGCAAAGGTTGCTGGCATTGCAGAATGGCCAGAACCCAGGTCCAAGAAAGATGTTCAACAATTCCTTGGATTCTGTAATTATTATAGACGTTTCGTGAAAGGCTTCAGCTCCTTGGCCAAGCCTCTTTCAGACCTTATGGGCAACCAAGAATGGGAATGGACAGACACAGAACGAAGTGCCTTCCAGGGTCTCAAGGACCTTCTCACATCGGCCACAATTGTACACATACCTATGGATGAGGACCCATTTATGGTAGAAGTAGATGCTTCACAATTTGCCCTCGGGGCAGTTCTTATGCAGAAGCAAGATAATCTTTGGGTACCAGTATCCTATTACAGTAGGTTGTTCAAGGACACTGAGAAGAACTATTAAGTGTATGATAGAGAACTTCTCGCCATTGTAAATTGTCTAGAAGAATGGCGACACTACTTAATACATGCCAAGCATACTGTACAAATCTTCACTGATCACCTTAATCTGACATACTTTAGGAAACCCCAGAAGATCAACCCCCGTCAAGCACGATGGATGTCATTCCTCGCTGAATACGATTTCGAACTCCATCATATCCCAGGCAAGAAAAACAGTGCAGCAGACGCTCTTAGCAGATGACCAGACTATAACGATGGTATGGATCACTTGGATAATCAGGTCGTATTACTGTACCTGTTGAGTTATTCCAGAGTACCAAAGTCGTAGGGTCAAAAACTATCCGTGACCTCTGCGCCACACATTCTTCTGAATATTTATTATGGAAAACTTTGCCTCAAAAGGAGCTCAAGTCAGCCGAGGATGGCACACTTTGGAGGGGGGTGAAATTCTCATAATCTCAAATAACCAAGAAATAATCAGCAAAGTGATACAGTCCCACCACAATGCCACATTCATGAGACACCCAGGAATAGAAAGGACGATGGAACTAATCAAGCGATCATACTGGTGGTCAGAGATGATCAAGGATGTAACGGCGTATGTGAAAGGTTGTGGGACCTGTCAAAAGGCCAAATCTAACCGCCAACATAGATCAGCACCATTAGAGCCAAACCCAGTTCTAGATCATAACTGGCAGTACATCTCCACGGACCTTATTGTAAAACTACCCATTGTAGACGAGTACGACTCCATCCTTGTATTTGTGGATCTGAAGTCGAAAGACTTCATAGCTATACCCTGCAAGGAGTCAATTAACTTGAAGGACTATGCTGACCTGTACATTCAGCATGTAATGTCAGCTCACGAACTAGCGGAAAGGATATGGTCTGACAGGGGATCACAGTTCATATCTTCATTCACCAAGGATATATACCAACAGTTGGGCATCCAGGGGAATCCTTCTACTGCCTATCACCCTCAGACAGATGGGCAGACTGAACGGATGAACCAGGAAATAGAGACCTACTTAAGGATATATACTTCCTATAGACAGGATGACTGGCCATCCAAGATACCCCTCACTATGTTCGCATACTGAAACCATAGACAAGCAAGCACTGATTATACCTCATTCTACCTTATGCACAGATACCATCCCTACATGGGAGTTGAAACCAGGAAAGAACCCCGTAACCAATCGGCCAAAGAATGGGTGAAAGAGATGGAGGAACTTTCCAAGGACGCAACTAATCATCTTACCAAAGCGAAAGGAATAATGAAGAAGTACCACGATGGCAAATACCCGGACCATGCAGCCTATACCAAAGGCGATCTGGTACTATTAGAAGGAACTAATATTACCACCACTTGACCAAGTAAGAAGCTGGACAATAAATGTTACGGACCATTTAGTATAGTAGAAAAGGTCAGGAAGTCAGCCTTCAGACTCAAGCTACCACCTGCTTGGCATCATATACACCCCATCTTCCACAAATCCTTATTGATACCATATCACCCTGCATGATTTAGCATATAAAAAGATGATACTACTATACCCGTTGATATGCACTGAGATATTCTGCGATCAGAAAACGCCAGAAATTGCGTCTGACTATTGCACAATCAGATAGCAAGTCACCGCGATCCGGAATGACAAACACTGAAGCTGGAACAGTCCAGA